TCATGCCAAATATCTAAGCTCTAGCTTTTACAGTTCTTTAAAAGAAGATTTTTTAAGTTTTTACTATATGCATATAGGGAAAATCAATGACCCCCCGGGCCAGGGCCAATTTTGACCCCAGGGCTTTTATTTGAACAAACTTGGTAGACACTCACTAGAAGATGTTTCATGCCAAATATCTTAGCTCTAGCTCTTTGGGTTCTTTAAAAGAAGATTTTTTAAGTTTTTACTATATGCATATAGGGAAAATCAATGACCCCCTGGGGCGGGGCCAATTTTGACCCTAGGGCTTTTATTTGAACAAACTTGGTAGACACTTATTAGAAGATATTTCATGCCAAATATCTAAGCTCTAGCTCTTACGGTTCTTTAAAAGAAGATATTTAAAGATTTTTCTTTCGGTTGCCATGGCAACCAGAGTTCTGCATGAAATGGAATTCTTTGAACAATCTTGATAGATCTTCATACAAAGAGTATTCCTGCCAAGTTTCATTAAAATTGGCCTTGCGGTATCATAGAAGATGTCCTTAGAATATTTAAAATGTGGACGGACGACAGACGACGGACGCCATTTGGTTGGCCATCCTAAAAGCTCACCTGCACTTTGTGCAAGGTGAGCCAAAAAGTGACAGTGTCTATTCTAGAATTTGAAAAATGGGAGATTTTTATCAAAAAGTGAATTTATTAAATTTGTTGATCATTTCCACTTCTCTATGTAAAATTACCCCCCTGCCTGTGTCAAAATAGGGGGGAATTCTCAAAAATATAAGTAAATCATCCCCCCTCCTAGAATAAACACTGAAAACAACAGACAGTAGAAATACAGATATGTAGAATTACAAATACGAAAAAAGTAAAAGAGATGAGCAATGCATCTCCAGATGAGAAAATGAAGTTTCATAAGTTCAAACTTTTCAAAATTATATAAAGAGACTTTAAAAAATTTACAAATATTTACAACCCTTGTAAAGATTTGCATGTTTTATGCTAAATAAGGCTGAATTTTCTGCTTCTATCTCATTACTAACCGATTGAAAAGCTATTTTAAAGAAGGTATGCATAATTTTGACACATTTTTGGTAATTTTCATTAACTATTAGTTCTTTAAGCGACAATAAAAGGGCATATGCCTCCAGATAAGGTAATTTTTATTTATGCTACCTTAAAGGGGCATGCCTCCAAGTAAGGTACTTTTCCTTAGATAAGATAATTTTATGCTACATTTAAGGGGTGTGCCCCTTGTTAGATAATTTTCATTAATCTTAAGTTCTTTATGCTACCTTAAAGGAACATGCTCTCCAGTTGAATGTGATAAATCTTCAAAAGTCAAACTTATAAAAAATATATTTATAAATAGTTTAAGAAATGTATAAATTTCTCAATCAATGTAAAACCTTGAAGGCATTATGCAAAATATAACAGAATTCACAATTGAAAACATCTTACAGATTGTGACGTCTGCTGCATATGACCTTACAGTACAAACATCATCTTAACCTCTACTGTTTGACTTACATTTCAACTAATGTTGATAATACAGTCATAATCAAATATGCACTGTAAACACAACCTTTGACGTAAAGTGCTTGCTTTGCAATTTTTAAGTACACAACAATGTATTTAAAATATCTAATTCATTTGTTACGTGTTTATCAAAGATATATGCCCGAGACTTGATTTCGAGCCAACAGTAATTTCAATACATCTTTCTTAATAAAACAAAACCTTAGACGCAGACTTCAAACAGCATGTTTACAAAATGTGTCTTATTGATATTGAAGACTGTGTTCTTTTTGCACTGAACTTTGTGCAAAAATTGTCAAACTGTCAACGAACATTGTCTAGTTATCATTTTAGAATTGATTTGTTTACGTGTTATTATCTGATGACACAAAAAAGTCCCCACAATATAGACTATATGAGCCACGCCATGTCAAAACCAAATTAGTGTGTTTGCGACCAGCGTGGATCCAGACCAGCCTGCACATCCGCGCAGTCTAATCAGGATCCATGATGTTTGCTATCAGTTTCTCTACTTGTAATAAGGTTTGTAAGCGAAAAGCATGGATCCTGATCAGTCTGCGCGGATGTGCAGGCTGGTCTGGAATCAGGCTGGTCGCAAACACACTATGTTGATTTTGTTATTGTGCAGCTCAATTATTATTATTTCATATGAGTTTATATATGTATTACACATTGATGAAGAGATTTGAAATTTAACAGTTCATTTTTATATAATGCTAATGACCAGAAACTGTATTATATACATGTACAGCATAAAACATGTATACATGTATATATAAAGAAAATTATGCAAATGATATTCAAAACCCTTAATTAGCATACTGACAGCAACTGATCTTACATATGCATCCTGTGCAGACCATTAGAACAGCTGGCATATCAGTGCCGACAGATCATGGTCTGCACTGTTAGTTATCATGTCAGTATATATTATGAGATTTTCAATATAATGGTAAATGGTTTTATCCAAAACAAATGTCCGTTTAAAATATTTAACGGGGTAATTTTACGTGTTCAATGCTACCTAGTGATAAAGCATACCCGTGCTACATGAGACTCCGTCTGACCGATCTTAGAGTAAATGTTGACCATTTGGTGTATAAATATCAAATGCATGATAATAATTTTGGTTGGGCAAACAGGCATGGCGCTGTAGCAGCTATAGATTGGCTATGTCACCTATTTAGCAGAAAGATTTTCAGATAAGGTGCTTTAATCAAGAACTTCTTACTAAATAGTTGTGTATCAACTCCTATCTGTTTCCTTACACTGTTTATCCAGTTTAGTGTATATTAAAAGGAGAACAAAGTTAAAAGCACAACTTAAAACACATTTAATGTTTAAAGCCTCTTTTTATTCGATAGTGTCAGAGTGATTTAGGATTTAAATTTTATCAATAGTCTTGAATAGATACTTAAAATGAAAAGAGTATTTCGAGAGCAGTAAAACGAAATATGTGCAGAATTGATAGATAGCTTTACGAGCTGGCTTTTCAAATTTGTTCAGCGGAAAATCAATCCCATAATCCCTACATTAGCGATTTAAATGCACCATATATTACGCTGCGTAACAGACATGGATTGTATACGCAACTTCAGATTACGATAAGTACACAACGTATATTTAAAGGTATACTTTAAGGTACGATAAAACAATCTAAATGTTATCTTGATTAAATACTTCAACCCTATACAAACTCAAACGAAGGGTATGTTTCTATAATGTAATGTCTTTTTTAATCAATATGTAAATATAAAACGGAAAAAAAAAAATTTTAGGGCCAAATATTCAAAGTATATATAATATCAACTGTGCTACTAACCTTAGCTAAAAAATATCAACTTCTGATAAATATTTGTGTAATTTCTGTATTGAACGAAAGGAACCTATATTCTAACAATGATTAAAATATGGGTTATATGGTTTCACATGCTACAGACACCTGATTATCTTTTCTTTTCATATTTCATTATTTCTGTCAAAGCATAAAAAGTTGTGTGCTTTTATGGTATCACTTCAATTTACAGGTCACCTTCTTCATATAGAAAAATATTTTAAGATACAATATGCTATATCAGCTTCTTTTACAAAATATATTTGTAATTCAAAAACATGAGTCTGGATCATGTATGATTAAAGAGTTATTGCACATAGCTTTAAAATGGCATTTCAACTTTATAATACCTTTAAGCCCCCCTGATGTGGTCAGCTATTTGAGTCTATGACTTTCATATACATGTATAAATAAAATGTTGTGCCGCCCTTGACCAAATTTATTTCTGAAATGCCTACCATTTATAACAGTAACCTATACTTAATGTCTTAAAAATAAAATTTGTTGCCTATATAAACTTACAACAGATATCAATTACAGGGTTTGGCAGTTTTGATAAAACTATCGCTTTAATTTCATTTAAAGAATCACAATATTAAGTCTGGTTGAATAGAAATTGTTAAGACTTTAAACGTGTTGACGTCCAAACCCATACATTATTGACAGATCTTATCGTTGAGTATACTGGAATCGGACAATTTCGGCCCGTACTTAGTTACGCTATAAGGCCTGAAATATTCTGCCACTATATTTACTTAGTTTTAACTGTACTTAACTGGTAGTAAGATTTGATAATGATTTCTTCAAATCAATACGTACTCAGATTTTTTAACAGCCATGCAATGATATTTATTTCCTTGGTTTTGACGTTTGATAACGAAACATTTGCATTGAAATTAAGTCTCTGATAAACTTATCAGTTACAAAAGTAAAGCTTTCATTGATTCTGAACAGTTGTTACTTGATTAAGTCAAAGTATATGAGTTTTTTAAGTTAAAATTTTCCCTTGTAAAATATTTGTTTAATGTTTACATAATTATTTCCGTAACATGAAGAACTGTTATGTACTTAAGTAACGGTACCTACGTAGAGCATTATTATATTTTCTAAAATCATATATTTTCTCTAATTCATGTACACATGTAAAGAAGTTGTAGTTCATAAGCCAACATTTAACACAACTTTATCTGACTAATAAACATCAAAAACATTAAAGTTATAAAGTGCCTATTCTGGCCTGATTTGTAATATGAAATCAATTTTAGGGTTAATTCCCATGTTTCAGCAACCCGAGTACAGTCTGGTCAGTAATTTGGTTTGCTGTGTACATGGCAAGAAAATAACTAATAAAATAAAAAGTAACTAAACTTCTTAAACTATAACCCAGTAATATATTCTAAAGATTCATTGTTCTAAAAATGTTGAAAAAAATTAATAATCTTTATACATGTTCATTCATATTAAATGTAACTGCATTCATATTAAACATTTTTCTTTATACACACATAGATTTTCATGCTTTATGTAAATTCAGGTTGAAATGGAAGATATTATTATGAGTCTGCAATCTGGGGAAGAAAAATCATTTAAATAGAAGAGCCTGGGGAGGCTGAAAATTGTAAAATTTATATGACATATTTACCTGTATGCTTCTTTTTCTGCAGGTGCTCCGTAAAAAGCTTTTGACCAGGCTGAATGGTATCTAGTATGTTCTCTTTTTTGCATTAATAAACTTCTTTTTTCATTTTCATAATGTTGGTCAGTTGTTTCCCAACTCCAATTAATTCTACGACGCGGCGGTGGAGGTGCTAAAGGATTAATCCGTCCTGGTATACGCAAATAATCCAATGAACTAGAAAGGTCTTTAGGTGGATATGCCGTGTACATTGACGCGGAGGAATGTGATCGTGGTGGAGGCTGTGTGATCCCCGTAGGTAATGGGGTCCTCGACGAGGCGATCCTCGGTAAAGTTGTTGTAGTCATGGCTATTTTTTTACCGTTGCATGTCTACAATGAAATTTAAAAAAAGAAATAATGAGAACTTATAAATAAATATATGTAAGATAATATTATAATAAGTATAAAAGTCCTTCTTAAATACGATAAATATAACAAGTATGCAACTTTCTACAGGTATTATTTATGCCGAAGCAAATTGTCATGTGTAAAAATTAAGAGAACAAATTACAGAAAAATAACTTAACAAATGTAGAATATTCCCAATTAAAAAAACAAACCTTTACATGTACTTTATTAAAGTATATACTAGTAATATTGACATGCTTTCTTTTATTTATATTTTGTTCCACCTAGAAAAAGTAATATTGTTAAAGTTGAAGCTTATATTTTATCTGTAAGTCATTTACATTTGTCTTCAAACAATACAAAATTTTATACAACATACATGTACATTATTTCATATAATTCTTCAATCAATAGTAACCAGTGCCCAATCACACCCCAGGAAACAATTGGGACTTTGACTATATGGACCTCAATTAAGGCATTATCTACAGGGAAAGCCAGATAGTAAAATCTCCAGTAAATGCCCTCCCATTGCAAGTTGGACATATTCCCCTCTATTTTGGCGCCAAAACCTCTGCAATGACTTGGCAGTATGGGGCAGAGGAGATAAAAAGTGCTTATTTTCATTGCCTATTGCCCTGCAGTCTGCCCAGGGATAGGGGCATGGTTACAACTGTCTAGTGCTTTATTTACAACATGTACTTCATAATTGCCTATGTCCAATTAGCAAAATTACAAAAGAAACATTATACTGTATGTATTTGATGATATAAAGTCCATGCATTCATTTATGCTTCTTGCAGCATTAATTGATATAAATCTTGAATGAAAATAAATGCCAAGAAAAATAAACTGAACATTTATAATGCTTACGGTAACAGAGGTAAGAAGGGGATTTATAAAAACTTGTTATAGTTTATCAACATCAAAACGAAAATATTAACACAACACTCAAGCAAAGAGCTTTGTATCTTGAAATCTGTATACATTATTGAATGTTTGACAAAACATACAAATAATTTTATATTATTTTATATTATTTTACTCTGCTGTGTGTTTTTAACGTAGAATGAAACAAACTCTTCTGAATAAGGATGTATTAATTGCAAGATGTATTTCTTATACTTTAAAGGGGCTCCACTGAGGTGAAAAAGCTTACAAACATATAAGATGAAATTCTTACATAGATCAAGTGATGTACTTAAAATGAAAACGTCTGCAAAAGACAATAATGAAATATACTAATCTATTTTAAGCCTGGTTTGAGTCAGAAAAGCATTGCAAGGATGGAATGGCTTGAAAATTAATAGTTTAAAAATTTGTTTTTTTTTCATCTCCTACATCTCCTACAAAATACCATAATTCCTTTTGTATCTTATCATGTAATATCCTATATATGTATATATTTATTATTCACTTACCATACTTGGTACTTGACTCGAACAAGTATATTTCAAATTTCTAATACATGTAATTACATTGTATAGTTATTTAAGGTGTTTTTATCATTTAAATTATTGTTGGTATGTATTTCAAAAAGTATGCTTTTCAAAAAAGTACAACACAATTCATCTACAATAAGTCTTACTCTCTTTGTGAGTAAAGTATATTCTATAACAATTAATGACACCTCCTTTGATAACAACAATATTTACTCCATAGCAACAAGTTTACTGACACTGTTACCATGGCAACAACATACTGCTGACAATATAGTCTTACCCCCTTTTTTGCTAAGTATACAAGAGGTCCTGGGTAAATTTGATAATAATTTACACTCTTTTCGCTGTGACTGAAACCACCCTGCAGTCCATATTCAATTAAACCATGACTCGTAAGTCCATCAATGACTTCTGACCCTGAAAATGACTTCACACAGGTGTCGTCCTCTTGTCCAATTATGTGTTCATCATTTACCAAGGAACTTTCCATCAAACATAATCTCTTGATATTATTCTGTCTGGTACTTTGGCAACCAACCAATGGTCTTAGTTCTATAGCATATTTCAAGTCAATGGTTCTATCTAATTTCTGACTTGTTTCCATAGCAACACTAGGGTTTACCATGGATCTCTGTTGATTTAACTGCTGTCTCATTCTTTTCTTTCTATTTGCAGAATTTTCAACGATGTTGTCAACTTGTGTACAGAGTTGTTCATCTTTTTCATGCTTACCACCATCTACAGAGATCTCCTTTATTGTCTCAAATGTTTGCGCACGAAACCTGTCAATGGACGTGCAAGGCCTGTATGCTGTTATCTTTGTATTGCCACCATATCGGGTATTTCTCAAAAACAATGGCCTTTCCTTTTCTGACGGTAAATTTCTAGATTTAGTCTTAGGGACATCATGTGGAAAGCTTGTAAGTTTCCTTGAAGCTTCATCTGCATACATATCCCCTTTAGCATTCACTATGAGAGCATCAACATTGTTACCAATATTTGTCTTCTTTTCATCTAAATCATCAGTGACACCTTTTGTAAGACTTTTACCTACGAAATCATTTTGATTAGCTGACTGATTTCTTGTTACATAGGGAGAATCAGTAGCTTTGGTTAGATCATACGATGTTAAACACTTGTCACTCTGTTCTTTTGCCAGCATGTCAAGTACTTCTCCCTTTGCTCTTCTGACCTTTTTATCACTTTCTTTGCCAACAACAAGGCTATTTTTCCTCACCTCTATAAAACTTTTACCTCTGTTCTCCTCTATTTCTGTCTTAGTCACCTGTTTTGACCTATCCTTCATACCTTGTTTATGTACAACCCCTAGAGGTGGAGGACTTACTAACACTGTATTGGAAACTTTTGTTTCATTTGCAAAATCAAATGTCACTTCTCGGCTCGTATTTATAGGAACTGGATTATCAAAGACCCTGATAGCAGATTTAGTACTTGGTTTTAAGTTTATAGAGGGTTTCAGGTTGACATTGTTGTAACGATCGTCTAGTTTTGTTGCTGCTACATAGGGAAACCTTGAGAAGCGACGAAAATGCTCCTCTGGTACACGAGTTACTGTCAGAATACTTGACATATTGCTGTTTGAGAAGTCAGAACTTTTTCTACAATTTTGGGAGAAATTAATGAAAATATTACGATAGCATTTTCTATAATTCTTGTAGAAATTAATGACTACAGGAAAACATATTCTCATAATTATGCTGATGCATTTCTGTCCACTAATTCTTATTCAAGGTTTGTTCCCTAATTCTATATCAATGTTTGTCCCCTAATTCTATATCAAGGTTTGTCCCCTAATTCTACTTCAAGGTTTGTCCCTTACTACTACTTCAAGGTTTGTTCCCTAAATCTACTTCAAACTTTGTCCCCTAATTCTACTTCAAGGTTTCTCCCCTACTTTTACTGCAAGGTTTGTACCCTTCTTCTACTTCAAGGTTTGTCCCCTAATGCTATTTCAAGATTTTTAATAAAAGCGTAATATTAATTGACATCACTTGTAATGACAAGTGTGTTAGAAAAAACTACCATCTTATTATTAATAAAGTAAATAAAACGAGAATATACCGAATGACAGCAAAATTAAAATATCTCAAGTTATTAATTTTCTTATGTCGTACATTGTACCTATATATTAAAATGTTATTACAGCAAGTTCATTCTTATTTACATGTAATTGGAAATAAAAAAAAGTTATTTATTTACAGATTTTTTGGCACTTTAGTAATAAACTTTTTTATTATTCTCAATAATACTTCAAAATTAACTTCAGAAATTATTTTATTTTTCAATTATTCTGTTTCAACTTAAAACCAGGTATATATCCTCATAAAATGGGTCCTTCAGTTTCAAATGTTTCATGAAATCTTGCTCAGTGGGGTATCTTATCTATGATAACTTATCAACTTGAGTATAAAACAAACAATTTCAATTTAAACTTATTAAACATAGTATACATAACATACCAATATTTATGTATACCAAAAAAAAAAACAAGGAAAAAAAGACAATTTTAACTTTATTTATCCCAGTTGCTCTACCAAATTCTGGTATGGTACTGGTAATTGGTATAGATATGGTACTGGTATACCAGACATACCAGTACTAGTTTGTTCTACCAAATACTGGTATGTATGGTACATGGTACTCAGTATGCCATGGTATACCAACAGTACTAGTTGGATATCAAGCTTAGAAGAATAAAATCAAAGCTTTTTTTGTGTAATAATCTTAAAAGTATTTTTTTACGAATACCAGACTAAAGTATGTTAAATGGACCTCCCATCTTTTAATCTCATCATTTTTAAAGTGACCTTTAACTTTTATTTTCTGTTTGAAAAACATTAGTCTGTATTGTTTCAAACTAAGTTTTTATGTGATTTTATCTTGGAAAAGTGCATCATATCACTGTCTGAGTGTCCTGAGAGCTATTCATAATGCAACAGTGATGACTGTTTCTAAAAACTGAAGAACAGGAAATGAATTGTCCGCTTTACTTATTGTTTAAATATAGAGAGCTGATATCAAGGGGTTTCCTTATTGTTTAAATATAGAGAGCCGATATCAAGGGTTTCCTTATTGTTTAAATATAGAGAGCCGATATCAAGGGGTTTCCTTATTGTTTAAATATAGAGAGCCGATATCAAGGGGTTTCCTTATTGTTTAAATATAGGGAGCCGATATCAAGGGGTTTCCTTATTGTTTAAATATAGAGAGCCGATATCAAGGGGTTTCCTTATTGTTTAAATATTATAAGAGAGCCGATATCAAGGGGTTTCCTTATTGTTTAAGTATTTTATCATCGGCAATTTTCATTTCTTGCCTAAATTCTTTTGATTTGACAATTATATGAAACGATTTATTGAAAAATAACATATTTAACCTTTAGAAAAGCTGAAGGCCGCTGAATAGCAAACAGTGCAGACTAAGATCAGAAGACCTGCTTATTATTATCATAAATTTGATTTGATTATAATTATTGTGATATCTTAATGATATTTATCATGAATTGAATTATTTTCAACATCTACAAAATATATTTGTATGAATTTAATTTTGGGTCTCTGCTGTGCGAAATACACCTGCGTTGCATTATCCGGTCTGTTTATATATCTATGTACTTAATAATAATAAACCATTCTGCCCTTGGAAGAATATTTCTGTGGCTTTCAATATATATTTCGATGTTATTTCATTGAAATCTTATCATAACTTATCTTTAAGAGATTGACATTTTTAATAATATAGAAAAGGTAATATATACAAAGCAGGTACATTGATCGGAAAAGTGATCAATTACTGTTATATTGCTAACTGCCATTTTTATTTCAAAGACTGCAATAAACTGTGGCATTAAATAGTTTTTATTGTAAACTGAACGGCAGCAATATAATTAATGGAGTAATCCATTCCCCATGTTTAAATTAATCGCAGTTTTTTATTGCCGTTTTTTTTCTTTGGAGTTCTAAATCAATTTGATAGTGGCACTGGGACAGGTTAATACTGGGTCCAATCTGTTTTCTATTTATGATTTAACGAAAGGAAAGAAATGTTCGCTGCAAATTTCCTTTTTTGGGTTAAACAGACTTATTGAGAAATAGAACTAACCGATTTATCTATTTATATTCATACAGATATTATTGTAAAGTTATAATAGCGTCTGCTATTCACTTTTTTTGTGATCAAAAAATCGGGTTTAAAGTGCTTGATATCATCACTCAAAGCACGCCATTCATTTTAAATGTTCACCTGTAACATCTAAGCTTTGATAAAAAAAAACACTACAAAGAACACAAAAACATATATAATTATGTATGTATATGTCTTGGTTGCACTTCTATTTATCTTTTTATTTTATTTTTCGTTTTCTTTAGAGTACATTTCACAAATAGAATGTTAAAGATATTTTACTTAAGGTCTTTCATTAATATCAACAGTTGAATTTGATTTTTTTTTTTAATATGACAAAATACTTGAAATTAAATCAAACTTACTTTCTTTAATAACTTGAATTTAATAAAGGTATAATAATTTAAAAATGTCTATAGTCCATTTATATTTTCAGTTTTCATTTTGAATATAAGAAGTTAAGTAATCAATCATTATTTACAAAAGGTGACTCTCCCCTAAATTTTACTGCAATTCTTAAAATCACCTGTCAAAACTTAGGCTCTTATATTGATACTAGTGATTTAGATTAAGCAAATAGAATAAAAAAAAACTTTGTATTATTTGACTGTTGATGATATAATATGTTAATAAAAGTATTGGTGCTGTAAACAGTATGATTGGTATATGTATAGTGGAATTATACAATAGTATTTAAGTAGAGGTATTATAAATGTTATAATGTAACAGTAAAGATCTGTTAATCCAGGGATTATAATACTGTAAACATACAGGTATCCATGTTGACTAGGGACTAAATATGACTCTAAAGTGTTGACCATGAAAAAAAATACACTTGGTTTAGTTTATATGAATTTTAATTTTAGTTTGATTGTGCTGGAAGCTATATTAGCTTATTTAAAAAAAACTCTTGAATCTGTTCCTGGAACCAACCAATACATCAGAAATGAGTGTAAAGTTTCTGGCTCACAGAGTAAACAGGTTGCCCATGGTGGGGTTTGAACCCTCGCATCCAGCAATCCCTAGATCACTAGTATGACATGTTAACCACTCAGCCATGTTGTAATTTTTGGAAATTGAACCTGAAAGAGTTTGTATTATTATCATTTTTGTAAAGTAAGTAATGGCAAATAAACCTGAATGTTTATGCATTATTCAATATAATTAGATTTATGGCAATTGAACCTAAAAGTAATTGAATTAATTTGTGTAATGAATTATTGCAATTAAACCTGAAGGTGTTTATAAATTATTTGATTAATTAAATTTATGGCAATTTGATTTAAAAGTTTATACATTACTAGTATTTGATTTTGTAATGTGTGGCAATTGAACCTATAGGTTTATACATTATTTTGTTAGAAATTTATGGCAATTGAACCTGAAGGTTTATACATTATTTGATTTAGTCATTTGTGGCAATTAAACCTGAAGGTTTGTAAATTATTTGACTTGGTAATTTGTGGCAATTGAACCTAAAGGTTTATACAGTATTTGATTTATTTAGTCAATTGTGGCAATTAAATCTGAAGGTTTATACATTATTTCATTAAGTTACTTGTGGCAATTGAACATGGAGGTTTGTAAATTATTTGACTTGGTAACTTGTGGCAATTGAACCTGAAGATTAATTTGATTTATTTAGTCATTTGTGGAAATTAAACATGAAGGTTTATACATAATTTGATTACAAACTTATGGCAATTGAACCTGAAAGTTCATACATTTTTTTATCTAGTCATTTGTGGCAATTAAACATGAAGGTTTATACATTATTTCATTTATTAATTTGTGGCAATTGAACCTTAAGGTTTTTACAGCATTTGACTTTGTAATTTGTGACAATTGAACCTGAAAGTGTATGTGTATTTTGTGTAGTAATTTATGGCAACTGAACCTGCAGATGCATGCATTTTTTGTTATATTAATTTATGGCAATTGAACCTGAAGGTTATTATTTTAGTGTGGTAATTTGGGGTAATTGTACTTGAATTATTTTGTGTAGTTATCTATGGCAATTGAACCTGAAGTTTGCAGGTTTGATAAATCTCCCTAGAAAAGGATTGTGAGCTGCAAACATACATGATGTGTGGCATTACATTTTCTGTTACAAAAAAGTTTTGGTTGTTTACTGAAACGTTGTTTTTCTTCTTCCTCAGGCATTGTTAAGTTTTAATTTAAGATAACTTAAGTTAATCATTGTGCCATGTTCTTGAATTATTTGGTGTATTACTATTTTCCTTACATTAATAATATATATATTTATTCAACAGTTAAAACTGGTCACTTTCATCATCATGACTATTAAGGTTAGTGAGAAAATTTAGGAAACTGACATTAGTAAATAATTATATAGAAAATAAATTGCTGTCAAATTTTATTCTCCATAGCTAAATTATAAGCATTTTTTTAAATTTCTGATATAAAATCTCTGTGTAGATCTATAAAGAAACATTAAAAAATATAAATCATACATCTTAAACTTATAAGTTTTCATTCCGCTGAGATCATTTTTTCACACCGCTTTATGCTAATATATACTTAACAATCTTCAAAAAAAGTAAACTAAAGTACACCAATTCTGTGCGGTAACGTTAAATAGATAGTATATATTTCGATTTATACATGTAGATTTCGGTTGTACACACGAAATCAAATGTTTTTCGTAAAGTTTACATGATTTATTTCATGTTATTTCTTAAACATGGAATAAAAAATATAACTAAAGAAAGTTTACCTTTTAGAAGAAACTCCACAAAGAAATAGTCAACTTATGATACACTTTCTAATTTCCAATTATTAACCATTCATTTGACTAAACTTCGGTAAATGTCTCGCGCTGAGGTCACGTGGTGTCAACGTCGCTACGGAGACGGACCTCTGACTCGCGGTTCGTTAACTGTTGCGACAAAAGATTAATTACGGATATTCAATAATGTATGGTCTGCTTAGTGCTAAAATATTACACGGTTTGTTGAAACTTTATCTGATAATCGATACACTTGAATAGATATTTAAACAAACACATGTACTATACCATTTATTGAAACAATCGTTTTAACCACACTATATAATCTACTAAATAAATACATAGAAAGAATTATATATAAATATAGATGAAAGATTAACGAGTCAAACGATATTTCTGTAGACCAGGAAATATCAATTTTCTTCAGAATTTTAAACATTGGGTCAGCAAAAAGTTAGTATGACTCGCGGAGGACATTTATTCCGAGATGAACAGATTAAGAGATCAGATGTAAATTAATTAATGAATAATTACAAGTTTAGAAACATGCATGATTTTTCCACAGGACATGGACAATTCATGTCATTTAGATTATTTATATATTTATGCAATCAGGTACAATTTACAGTTGTGCATGTATATATTTAAGTGAGAAACTTAATGCACAAGTATGGGAATCGAAAGAAAAGAACATTTTCTGTTCAACATTTCCTCTCCGCAATTTTGCATTACTATGTTATTAAAACATAATTATGATTTTTTATTCTTATTTTAGCGCTTAATAATTAAACTGTATCTCTTGGTTAAACCTTATAGTTCAATTAATATTTTAATATGCGAAGGACCACATTCACAATGTCAGTATGGAACGTCGAGATCGTATGATTTCGGCAACATCTCTACACAGAAAGCCAGTCTGCCAGAAATATACTTACTAAGTACCATATACCAAATCAGAATTAAAAAGCACGTGCACATAGGTAAATGCATGCGATTATTTCCACCCAAAAGAAGAGGCCTTTTCATTTCTACGTTAGCGGTATGATATGATTACTAGAATGCATATGTGACCGAGGATCTGCGCTAATTGCAGCATTTCAAGCACGAGCGGGAACCTGGGTAGGACCAACGACGTTCCGTAAGCCTGCTGGGTAGCTTCCTCAAAGTCCCTCTTCAGCGGTGAATGGCATACGTATTTATTCTTGAAAGTTTTGGTCACAATGTCCGTGTCCTTAAACCCCCCCCACCCCCCACCCCCGAGGGATTATTGCAAAACACGGGATAACATCTTTGTTACTAAAGAACAGTAAGTGATGCTAAATGAAATAAATATAAGTGTAAAGAAACAGGTAAGTATTTTTTATAGATCATCAGTAATCAAAAATAGCTCGGCTGAGGTAAGTTTTCTAGTGATTATTTTTCTGTCCAGACGATTTAAATTATGCTTCATAGCCTACCGACCGCGGCAGTTCCGATGCTTTCTAAAAATGACAGCAGGAAACCAGTTCTTTTTCGTTAAAACATTCTCTTATATATTTTAAGACCTGAAAATTTACGTTGAACTGACAATGCGTATCGTTTGTTAAGTTTTCATCAACACTTTTACACAATAGTGTGTACGTTGTCATCGACAATTTGCAAATATTGTTTGAATGATCTCATAAAATACAAGTTAGACCAAACTAAATACATTTTTAGAAAGCATCGGAACTGCCGCGGTACGTTGATTTTTGTGGTCACATGACCAAAGTTGCTTACCCACGGTGAGTAATGCAGACTAGATGGGATATAGATAGAACAAAGCAATACAGATAAGTTGTAGTCTGCTTTCAACGTATTATGCAAGTTCAAAATCAGGAAAATATTTGAACACACTGGTCCTGCAGAATAATTAAAAAGGCCGATCATTTTGACAATACCACACATAAAATGCGTCAGTAGTCACACAGTAACCTCCCTTACTCCATATAGCAATCAATGTGCGCTTTTTTTAATACAATACTTATTTACTTGCATGTGCAATACAAGCCGTTTTCTTTATGCATGAAAACACCTATTTTAGCCCGATAATGCCAGAAAAAAAGGGATACTGGAACGTAGAAAAACAAAATAACAATTACAGAGCTTTTTCTGTTTTATTTCTTACTTGTTTTTCTTAAACAATCATTTTATTTATACTTCAAATCAGGTTATGCAAAAATAATATAAAGCTTAAATCAAGTCTGTGACTCACTGAAACAAAGAACATAGGAAATACAAATAGTACTATGTCCTGGCAGTGGTCAAAAACAAACAAGCTTTTAAATACCGAAGCATAGCTTTGTTAATATCCAACATGCATACACTTCACACAAACTTACAATGTATCAACAATTTGTAGAATGATAGTATACTGTTCCTTTAAATAAAGATCAAAATTCATGGTAAAGTATTTTAATTTTGTTATAAAATAGCATATTTTCCCTTGATAGTATCTGTACTGCCCTATACAGTTAATTATACAAGATGTTGTAGTTTTCCAGCAGTGCACATAACCTACAAATTGAATTGAATTCTTTTATGGCCATTCAATATTAAACAAGACAAGTGTTTTGAAAAAAAAAATCTTAATAGATAAGTTTGCTCAACTGTTTTCAGAAGAAACAAGAGCCATGTCAACATGGCCATCCCCCGCCGAATGACTGTTTGCTCATTGGAAGAATGTATATGTAGTAGAGCAGAATAATTCCATTTAAAGAGGTCTTTTGGTAATGAAAACTGATGGCTATAGTGATTACAGATTTGAAACCTATGTGAATACTGATGGCTGAAAATAACAAAGGGCAATAACTGAAAAATAATGCAGGGTAGGTTATCATTCTTGTGTGCTGCATCCCTCCTCAGTAAAATCTATCCACCTATGAAGTTTCAAGTTGATACCTCAAATACTTTGTGAGAAAAAAATTGAATTGAAAAATTAAGTATGAAAAATAACAAAGGGCAATAACTCAAAAATTATAAAAGGTAGAGTTATCATTCTTGTGCAGTGCACATCTCCTGAGTGAGATCTATGCACTTATGAAGTTTCATTTTGATATCTCAAAGGCTTTTTGAGTTATGCTCTGGACAAAAATTAATTTTGAAAAATAACAAGGGCAATAACTCAAAAATAATGCAGGGTAGAGTTATCATTCTTAAGCACTGCACTCCTCCTCAATGAGATCCATCCACCTTTGAAGTTTCAAGTTGATACCTCAAATACTTTTTGAGATTAGCTCTGGACAAAATAGCATGAAAAAAAACAAAGGGCAATAACTCAAAAATTGTATAGGGAAGAGTTATCATTCTTGCGCACAACATTCCTCCTCAATAAGATCTATCCACCTATGACATTTCATGTTGATATCTCAAACACTTTTTGAGTTATGCTCCACTCAGGTGAAAAATTAGGTATGAAAAATAACAAAGGCCAATAACTCAAAAATTATGAAAGGTAGAGTTATTATTGTGTAGAGTTATCATTCTTGTGCACTGCACACCTCCTGAGTGAGATCTATGCACCTATGAAGTTTCATGTTAATATCTCATAGGCTTTTGGAGTTATGCTCTGGACAAAAATCAATTTTGAAAAATAACAAAGGGCAATAACTCAAAAATCATGCAAGGTAGAGTTATCATTCTTGTGCACTGCACTCCTCCTCAATGAGGTTTATCCACCTATGAAGTTTCAAGTTGATAACTCAAATACTTTTAGAGATATGCTCCGGACAAAAATGTCGGACGGAAGGACGGACGGACGGACGGACGGAGACTATTTCTATATCCTCCGCCGAAAATTTTCGGCGGGGGATAACAAGCTGGTGGAGTTAATAAGACTGTTTTTTTTTACCTTTGTGCACTAGCAGTGACAGTAACTGCCTTTTACCACCAGCACGAAGCCAGGCCAGTCTGTTCACCAGTGCTTTTTCGACAAAACTCTACAATTTTAATAGCTTCTTTAAATTCTGGTACTTTAATACTGAAATCCTTTAAATTAAAGATGAACAGTTTTAATTTCAAAACATGTTAAAATGTTAACTAAACAAATGAGTCAGGATAAAGTTAGCAGACATATGAAGATAAACATTGTATAATGAAAATATATAACAAGATAAAAGATGTTTAAAACAGTTGGGGTGTCAAGTTTTAATATTATTCAATATTTTTAATATTATATAAATATTTTCATTATATATCTTTTTCTTTATAACATTTGTGAAGTTTCATGAAAACCTATTACAACACTACATATGACAAACATTTAATTGCACTTGTTTAAAACAATTCAAATATTGCTAAGAATTACAGAATAATAACTACATTTGACCACAATTACCCTCTGACCAAATTCAAATATAAATTCCATATTTCAAAAAAAAAATTTCATTCTTTTATTTATAATGCAAAACCTGTAACAAAGAGAGTAGAGGTGGTATTTTAACTTCCTTGCCTGCCTCTCAACTTTAGGGTCACTGATCCGAGACCTACTAGGGTCACCACCATGTTTCCTCAATTTAATACCAGGTTCATTCAAAGAATCAGAATAAAAGTGATTACAATAAACTTCAGCCTGTCCACATAACCTAGCAAATATATACACACTTTACCTTAACTACATGTATTAAGTAATCTCGAGCGTTTTTATACCAACACCACTTGCAGACTGTTCACAAACTTGTAATTTAGCTTCAGAAGTACAGGAATGTCCAAAGTAAAATTTACAGCAATAATAATCATTGAATTATTCCCCATCTAAATTAAAGTACATCACTTCAACAGAAAGCCATCAGTGAAAGGTAACAAAAAATTTTTTCTTCATTCTTTTCTTAACAATTCTCGCAATCCAAAGGACTCCATTTTCCTTTTTTTCTCCCCTAGTTCATTAAAAAAACCCAACAAATTATAGATTTAGTAAAAGATATAGATTTTAAAACAGATGAATTTGTTGCATATAAAATCAAAAGAAATCGCTGTTTAACAAATAATTTAGCTCACTGGCAGCTGTTGAGAACAAATACAAGTAAAGGCATTTCATTCTTCATAAAAAAAGCAGCTTACATGTATATACAAAATCCATAGCTGTAAAATTAATAACATCAAATGTTACGATTCATTTTGTTTATTTTGTTCATTTGGAAAAAAACAACAACATATTTCATTATCAAATCTTTCATATCAGGTAATTTTTATCTGTCAAATAAACAAAAGACTTATTTTAATCAAAGTATACAAAATTGTTGTTTAAATTTTGAAAAATAAAAATTCCAATATATCTGTATGAAGAAAATATGTTGTATGTTTCCTTAAACGCAAATGGCACATGCAAAAAATCATTTATAAAATGTTAAAACAGCAGCATAATATTTTGTTCCAGAATATTTTATCCTGTTTAAAGTACAATATTCATGTATATAAAATTACAGGAACGTTTTATGTAACAACTCTTTCAAGATTCAAACAAAAGATTGTGGAGACAAAAATTTTACTATTTTTTAAATTGTATGAAAATATTTTTTATACCTTTTAAACAAAGGGAAGTAAATCATGTTAACAAATTGGATGAAAAAATGAAAATAAATTTTTTCCAGCCAAACAAAAAGCCACCAAAATGATCAATATTTGTATTATATACACACATATGTTGTGCATAAATGTTGTATGTTTATAAAATTTCTTTCTGACCTTTATAAAGTGTTTCGGACAAAGGTGCCTTTAGACATTACACATGTCTGAAAACAGAATTTATTTTGAAATGCAATGAACAAGTCAAGTCTTAACAAAAAAAAAATTAAAAGAAGAAATAAAATTGAAAGTTCATAAAAAGTTAAATTACATATTTACAAATATGATACATCTGTAAGGTCTATATTTTACAATATATACATTGGGGTTATTTTACACTTTGTTAAAGTTATCGTACATACCTGTACTCATACACAAACTGTTCTTGTTAAGTAAAAAAAGATTAGAAAACACGAAATATATAAAGTTTGCTGTTGTGAGATATGGGACATATCACACTTAAAAATGAGAATTTTCTGAAGTAAGAAAATGACAAACAAGTCATTGTTTGAATTTAAATATGTTCAATACACCTTTTTACTTTACATATATTGTCGAATAAATGCCTCAGTTTATAATTGGAGGTGCGTTCATTAGAGAGTATACAATCTTTAGCACTTAACTTCATCAAGTTGGCACAGAACTATTATAAAACAATACTAAATATAAAATACACTACGAGCTTTCATCACGAAACCTTAACTCTGAATATCACGAATAGATAAATGGACTGGTCAGTTATTCAATCTGGACAAAACCATTTTATAACTTTTATTTTAAAGAAAATTTAAAATTATGTACAGACTGAATAGCAAACAGTGCAGACCATGATAAGACAGCATGGATGTTCCAGCTGATCTTGGCATAGCTAAGATCAGTTTGCCGCCAGGCTAAGGGTTAAGTAATGACTTCACGTCTTAAAAACTTTGTATGTTACGAAAATACTGGAAGAATCTCTGCAAAAGCACTATATCATCATATGGCAGTGTTAATATTCTATTTTAACATTAATTAAAGATTAATATTTTGCACTTATAAATTTAGGACAATTTGAAGTGTTCTAAACAGAAAATAAATATTGTCCGGTATATAAATCAAGTAATTTAAGCCAGTAACACTGGCACTTAATTTTCTACAAATTGAAACACCCTACAAATACTGTGTGTACAATAATCCTTTTTTTAGCAGTGGAAATGAATTTTGAATAATCAATATATTTCTGAAATAATTTTTTCCCATTTCAGATTTATTTGGAAATTTATTCTTTCTACTAGAGGTGAGTTACCCTAAATTATTACAATCATCTTTCAAAATTCCTTTTTTTTACAAAATAATTCATTCATGCATGTATCTATCAAGATGTAAAAGAAATCAACAACATATAAATAAATGCTTACATAAAGCTTAACATACTATGATTTACTCATCATCATATATAATTGGGAATAATTTCAATGGAGTTAATCAATTTGTGAAAATCAAATGAAACATTTAGTGTATTAATTTTTTTAGTATGTATATTTTACAATATACACAAGGTCAAAAAATTGCTCCCCTAACATTACAATGTCTAATCTAATCTAATCTAATCATGTTGATAACAGGAAATTTTAAGATTTTCTAGCACTAGATGCAAAGGCTCACGATTTCAGCCCTTAACCTCCTAAATTTGTATAATGGACTTTCCCAGCTTTGAATTTGAAACAGTCCATTCAAAAATATAAAAATAGCAAATGTTGAGCTAACAACAATATAGAGCCTGGTCAGACTGCACCAAAAAACTTTTATTAAATACTTACATGTATATATGTAAATATCTCAAAAATCTTGTTAATCTTTTGTTCCTTTTTGCATATACAAAAGTTATGGTGTTTTATCATAAACTTCATTATAAATGAATAACCTTAACATCCATACAACATCTGGTTCTCCCCATGCATAAAACATAAATGCCCGACGTGAAGAATAAGTTACTAAGCCCATAGTGCAAATGCTAATGTGTATATATCCTTTGTAATCACTTTGTCAAAAAGTAGTACCCGTTTTACAGCCATTTCAAATACTATCAGAACACGAAGCTTTATAAATTAACATTTACTTCTTACACGAAAAACATTCACTCTTAAATGTTATATCTTTTCAACATTTACTTCTTACACGAAAAACATTCACTCTTAAATGTTATATCTTTTCAACATTTACTTCTTACACGAAAAAGCATTCACTCTTTAAATTTTCTATCTTTTTATAAACAACTATGCCAAACAAGCCTTTTCACACATTTGAACAGTAATAAATTTTTAGCAAAACTCATACAATTAAACATTTCATTTCTGTTGACTGTCTCACAGCTTGCAGTCATTCTCTCATTATAAAATTCATTAAATATTTATATATATTTCTAGGCTATCTCATTGGTTCAAAGTTTATCACTGTACAGGTGTATTTTTTTATTGTAGTTCACCTACTGGGAACGTAGGTGCATCACCGGGGTCATGACTTCGCCTTCGTGAAAAATGACTGAAAAATAAATATATATTAATGCTTAATAATTAATGACATATAATGAATATAATAAAGAAATGAATTGGAGTTTTAACAAATGAAACATCGTATGGACAACATCTGCTTAGAAATAACAGCACATGTGACTAGTCACATAGCACTTCAAAGAGTTCAGATAGACGACTATCTCAATAACTTTCTTTTTACTGTTGTTGTTTCTTTGTTTTTCCTTGGAAAAAAGCCAAAACTGATCAACCCTTATCTTTCTTAAATAGTTTTGTTCAATTTCCACTTTTGGAAGTGTTTATCAGGAATATCAAACTGAAAACTTGAGTTAGTAGGCCAACAGTATTGAGCTCAGTCAGACTGAAAGGAGATGAAAACTGGCCTGGCTCTATACTGGTGGCAAAGGCTAACCACTTTCGGTTCAAGAATGTTAAAGGTTAATATCTCATCAGCTATAATCAAGCACTGTGAAAAAAATTACCTTGAAATAATTCCTAAACAGTTTACTGTCTGATTTAAGAGCATCACAGAATTCTTGTGCTTGGTCAGGTGACAATCTGTGTGTAGGCAGATAGTCCCCCTGTAGAAAGTTAGTCAGCTCATCTCCCTGTAATGTATACATGTATTTATAATACTGCAATTTTGTATCATCGCTTTCCATTGGATAGTCATGATATTTTATAGTTTTATAAACATGGCTGCTGTCAATTTATGAAGAAATCTCACTTTTTTCTCTAAAAAAAGGAAGTTTGCTGTATTATTAATTTGATATAAATATTCCTGAAACTGCACAAGACCTAAAACTGTACATTAGTGTATGATTAAACACACATTCAAAGACAAAGTCCATTTCCTAACCATTCAAAGACAAAGTCTATTTCCTAACCATTCAAAGACAAAATCCATTTCCTAACCATTCAAAGACAAAGTCCATTTCCTAATCATTCAAAGACAAAGTCCATTTCCTAACCATTCAAAGACAAAGTCCACTTCCTAACCAAACAGGTTGAAATTGTACAAAGCATGACTGTAAAAGAGGACTTCTGTTTTTATAAATATAAAATAAACATGAATGTTGGTCTTACCCTCTGTTCTAAAACACACTTTAGACATAATGCTGCCTCACCAAGAGCCTACAATTAGAAAATAATTGTCTAAAAATAGAAAACCATCGTCTAAAAATAGAAAGGAACGTCTAAAAATAGAAAATATTCTTTAAACATTGAGAAGAATAGTTTTGTCTAACAAAAAAATAAGAGTTGTCTAAAAATAAGGAATAAAATTATCTTAATACAAATATGATTATCCCACAGCTACTACATAAAGAGATGTTAACATTAAAGTTCAGAAACTTGGGAAATTATGCAAACAACATAAAGATTATCACTTGTCCATAAAAGAAAAAAAAATTATATAAAAATAGTTCAGTGAGAGTATGCCACTTTAAAGTAATTATATAACATACCAATGAGGTTTGTGCATCTTTAAGATCAAACTCTGGTTTCATTGGGGCCATAAAACAAGCTGGAATAATGCTCTTGTAAATAAAGTCTGGAAAACCCTGTAAACCATCCTTGCCACCTGAAACAATAAATATATGTATAAACATATATGTATAAAATATCTACATTTAATCTGAAGTTCTTTAATTCAGAAAACTTATTTTTCATTGCTCCTTGTGTAACATTAGTACTTAAGAAATCATAAGGTAAATTTCAAGCTTTACTGTTGCTTCTTTGGGCATTATTTCTTATGTATCAGAGAAGAACCAAAAACCTTTCATAAGCTTACTGGATAGTTTCCTAACATGAAAGTATTTGAAGTCTTTCACAGGATTGAAGTCAGTGACTAAAACCAGTCACCCAAAGAGGCCCTTAAAATCTATATGCATAACAGAGGTGCCTTACACCTTAATTTGCTGTATTTTTTACATGAAGCTTTGTCCAGCTTTCATTTTTTAAACTGTCCATTATAAATTTTTGTGATTTCAAGAACAAATTATGTAGAGCCTGGTCAGACTGCTATGCTGTGCAGGCTGGGCTGGTTCTATACAGGTGGATACTTTCCTTTCCTGCAGAGTTAGGGGGTTAATTCAAGTTTCTATTTAGTAAACTATTAAAGTACTCACCCCAAGATGCTACAAGCCTTTTCAATATATTGAAACATGTCTTCTGACTCTGAAATAAGCAAAGAAATAACGAAACTTCAATATAAATAGTAACTGATATGAAAACATAATGTGAACTCATTAATCTTTCAATAAACCAAGTGTGATGAAGATTCAATGAATGGTCCATGAAAAGACATTTTCGGTTTGTACTTAATCTGTATCTCTTTAAAATGCTTTTTAATTGCAAATCGTTTTAAAGTAAACCTTGAAATATAGGACCATGGGCCACATTATTGTAAGCGCTGCCTCTCATCCCAGAGATAATTGGTTCGAGCCCTAATCAGGTCAAGACCATGTTTCTTCATATGACACAAGTACTGGTTGGTTCCAGGAAGCTGACTCGAAAGTGATTAATATAAGTTGCAAGATCTTGTTTCGCAATAGAGCTTAAATAAATATATTTAAACTTAAACAAATATAGGACCATCCAAAGATAATACAGACCAAGTTTAGTGAAAATCTATGTTAGAACTTTATGAATGAAGACCATTCATTGCTACAGAATATGTAAACATTTATGAATAATAGTCTAAGAAAAGATATTCCATTCCGAATTTTAAGTGAATCATTCTCTCTGACAGCTAAATGAAAACTTACAGGAAATATTCCAGTAAGTGAAACACGTAAATATTGCATATATACTTACAGAAGGATCAGGAAAATCTGTGGCACCTTGAACAATGGTTATCAATACCTGGTGTAGATTGTTTACTTCTGTAATACAAAAATATCAACTGTTAAAACTTTTTACTTGGTTTAAAAACCTGATACTAACCCTAGTTTTGTTGACTATAAACTACCAATCTTGTACTGATTCCATCAATACTACTAGTGCAGACCAAGATCAGCTGGTACATCTGTGCTGTCTGATCATTTTATTTTTTCACTAAAAATTAATTGTAGATTGAAAGATGGAAAAGACGACTTAATAAATTACGGTTAATGTATCCCAAAAACATTCAAATTCAAAGCCTTTTGGCATTTTTTTCTTGTAATTAAACATGAACATCTACAAAAGTTTATAAAACTAACATATAAAACACAAGTCCATATCACACATGTTGTTTTAGATCGTAAAAAAATGGCAACTGCAGCGTTCTCTAATGGAGAAAGACCTTTAATATTCTTTCTGTTAAATATTTCAAGCACCACTGGGCACCTGGACAGAACCACTATTCTTATTTATGCTAGCCGCACAACTTCCTCGCAACTCTTCACTGTAATGTAACTAACAAGTGTAAGCAAACATTTCAAGGAGAGACAGATATTTACCAAAATGCCAAGAACACTTTAAAAGATTTAAACTGTATTTTGTTAAAAACTGTAATAAAATGAAGCGTACCCTGGTTTTTGAGCACATCAAGAACATCATGGCTGACTATAGTAGAGATAAATAGATAGTAGCTTTTCTGTAGAGAGCGTTTATCTGCTAGAGCAACCTGGTCAAGGTTGTCTGTGGGCTGGGCAAGCACCTGGAATATTGTACTGACCACTAGCATGAACACCTCTTGTAGGAATGGTGATATTGCACTCTGTAAATTTACATGAATACACAATTTACATGAATACACAATTTACATGAATACAAATTTTACATGAATAGGAAATCAACATGAATACATAATTTACATGAATACACAATTAACATGAATGCAAATTTTACATAAATAGAAAATCAACATGAATACATAATTTAATCAATACAAAATTTGGGTGAAATGCACAATTTATATAAATACACAAATGAAGAAAATATAAGAAATATACATCAATTTACAAATTTTACTTTAAAAGAAAATCATAAAATCTAGAATTTAATATAAACTTATCAATATGTAAATATGACAAAATCTGGCATAATAGACCAAAGATTAATCATCAAATGACACATGTTAGCATTTTATAAAATATAAAAATCATGGTTTGTTCATAACCATAATTGCCTGTGTGCTCTCTGGTGGTGCAAGTAAATGCACAAATCTCATTACAGAAGAAAATGCATTAAATCAGTGCTGTCCATTTTTTTAAGGGAAACAATGAAAACTTGAAAGTAACTGCCAGTAAAGCACTGTTGATTGTTTGACGTTTGAAAACCTTTCCATTTATCATGGTTTGACCGCAGAGTAGCAGTCGTAAATTCTGCAGTCGTTAGTGATTATGACTTTTGCCTAGAATTTGCTGCCAGAGAACTGATACAATGTGAAACCAGATCAAACAGTATATTTTACATTCTTATACCTGATTATACAGAAAGATATACATACATAAAGAAACACTCGAAAAAGACAAATTTACCTTGAATTTCATAATCATCTGATTCATTAAAGGAATGAAATCATGCAGTTCCCTCGCGTCTGGCTGTTTAAGGAGATTTTCTAGTACAATAGGAACGAAAGGTAGAATCTCCTTCTCAAGACACACAACCATCCGGTGCATATACTGCCGTACACCGACAAGAATCAGTTGACGGTGAACCGGAACGGTGACAGATTGTATGAAGATCCGCAACAACTCTACGAAAACACCTTCACAACTGCAATTCTGCATGGTCTGTTGACCAGAAAACCCTTTACTGGCACGACTGTAATTCAAGGCAATAGTTAGTACATAGGTAGTCCATATCATATTGCAATATTTATTTTAGAACACTATTAGGATGGAAAATAACCATTTTTTTAACAAAATTATTACCCAGTACCTCAATGCATTTTATGGTGTTTATTTTCTTTTGTTCGGTTTAATTAAAAATTCTCACATTTAATGTTGGAAATATCCAGCTATACTAGCCAAGGATTACCACTGGTGCTTCTTGCTTCACATCAGCAAACAACTAGGCAACAAGGTCAAGAGTTTACTGACCCATCCACAAGCCAATTGGAAAACATCTCCCAACAATTTCAATTTCAATAATAACTTAAATATACTCATATTTTTTACACCAAATTTGACCAAAAAAAAAGCTTTATAAATTTATCAAATAAAATATGAAAACTCGATGGGGCAACTTACCTGGCAAGAGCCATAGCATTGTTAATACTCTGTGCGTATGCTAGTTGCCTGTTCTCGTCTTTTTCTGCAATCATTTTTTCCATCAGCAAAGAAAACTTGGCAGCTATTGGTGCTAGGACCTGTTTCATCAGTGTTGACTTTTTCTGCAAGTTGTAAATATTTATTATTATAAATAAACGTCATAGTAAAAAGGAATATTGAATTTGTCAAAGAAATATGTTTGATAAAATTCATTTTGCTCTCAATACACTTCCATCAATACAATCAATGTCAATTTAGACATGCAGGTCAATTATTCTTCTGCCTTTAAACTATTTACCTCTAAGCCTCAATGAGTGTGCATCAAGTTTTGATCACTACTCTACATGGCAATGACAAAAATAATTCCCGTGAAGAAAAAACAAAAAAAAAACTTTTTTTAAACTGAAGCATTTGTATTCTTTTGGATTAAACTTTATCAAGATTTACTTCATGAAATTTTCTTATGAGCCTTATCAACCAACATTATTTTCAAACAAACTGACCTCTGGTGGGAAGTTACTTGACACTATAAGACTTCCTGCAGTCTCGTACACAAACAGCTGATCCTCGTTGCTAAGCAGGTGCTGGTACCCGTTGTCAGGTGTATTTAGCACAAGTAGGTCACCAATCCTCTTAAATATGTCATCTATATAATTGTTGATTTGTCCTCTGAAAATACACCAAAAACATAAATGAAGTTATCAACAGATATAGTGAGCAAGATAGACAAAATTCAAGAGGTTGAAAAATAAAACATAAGAAATTTCATACAATTGCCCTTCTACTATTTCAATCAATAAAGTGGTTTGCTTAAACTTTGTTTTAATTCTATAACTTAACCAATTTCCCAGTGGCTTGACCAATGATATTTCATCAAGTCTGCAAATAAACAATTTTTTGTTGTTGCTATATTCCATAATGACTTATAAGTCAATTGTTTCAAAAAACAGTACAGAAAAGCCATATATATTCTTTTTTACTGAGAGGTATTGCTCTACAAAGGTTGAATTTTTTGGGAAAACAGGAAAACGGGTGTTGTATAAAGAAGCTAGCCACTCTACTGAGCTAAGAATGTATATAAAATACTTTTTTCCAACTCATCAAGCTTACTATTTTGATAAAATAAAACTGTAGTTTATGTCAACTTACTTGAGGCCCTTGACAAATCTTGAGAAAAGATAAGACGCTCTGCTCCTGACCTGAGCAGATCTGTGATGAAAACCTCGTTCATCCATAAATGCCATCTGCAAAACAAACATCGTATTAACATCTTTTAAACAAGTTTCTTTGACTCCATACCTTCTTAACCTTTCACTTCTTGAACAGTAAGTAATTAGCCTTTCCCACCAGTATAAAGCCAGAGCCTGCAAATACAGTCTAAGCTTTATACAGTTGGTAGCTCATTTATCTTTTGGACAAGCAATATCATAATAAACTAAGAATAATTTTTTTTTAGAAACAACATGTATCATATCTTAACTGTTTTCTAAATCCGTACATCAAAACTCACCAAAACATCTGGTATATGTTGGGGTTCACACTGGAAGAACTTCTCGTATCTGACAACCGACTCGAAGAAATGAAGCATGACAATCATGTGACCTTGAAAGCTAACACGACTGGTTATCAGCTGAAAATGACCAAGATAAAACTTTTCGTTTCAGATATACCGAAACTAGAAATGTGTCATCATGCCACGGATGCCCCCGCATGCAGCCAAAATTTCAGATGGTGCATTAATTTTTTTTTTTCATTTTAAGTTCAAAGCCCTTAAAACTTTTCAATGTTAACACAAACCATTTCCATACAACGTTCAAGGCACTGAAATTATTCAGTCTTAACCTTTAGAAAAAGCATATTGCATATTTGTAGCCAAAATAATGGCTAAAAGAATGAGTGCTGAAACTGAAAGTTCAAAATTTTTCCAACATTCAGGAAAGATAAGTTTGTCTAAAATCATTGAACCATGACCAAATTCAAACTTAAACTGCTTATTCCTAAGATGTATCTATATTATTTTCAAAGTGAAAGGGACATAACTCTGCCAAAAATCCATCAAACCATGACCAAATTCCAACTTGACCTGCCCATTCCTTTGACATATCCATATGTCAAATTAAAATTGAATATGTAACACTGTTAGGTAGATAATGAACAGAAACTGTAAATTTCATATTATTTTCAAAGTGAAAGGGGCATAACTCTGCCAAAAAATCATTGAACCATGACCAAATTTGAACTTGACCTGGGCATTCCAAAAACATATCCATATGCCAAATTCGAACTTGACCTGTATTTTCTCATGACATATCCATATGTCAAGTTTGAGTTGATTGTGTTGTACCGTTGGGGAGATAATGAACGGAAACTGAAAATTTAATATTATTTTCAAAGTAAAAGGGGCATAACTCTGCCAAAAATCATCGAACCATAACCAAATTCGAACTTGACCTGTATTTTCTCATAACATATCCATATGTCAAGTTTGAGTTGAATGTGTCCAACCGTTCTTGAGAATGAACGGAAACTGAAAATTTCATATTATTTTTCAAAGTAAAAGGGGCATAACTCTGCCAAAAAATCATCGAACCATGACCAAATTCGAACTTGACCTGTATTTTCTCATGACATATCCATATGTCAAATTTGAGTTGAATGTGCCCAACCGTTCTTAAGATAATGAACAGAAACTGATGATGACGGAATGACAGAATGACGGAAGGACGGAAGGACGGAAGGATGGAAGGACGGAAGGACGGAATGACGGAACAGGGTAACACTATATGCCCCGGCCATTACATGGCGGGGGCATAAAAAACAAACACCAGTCAAATATTTTAAAACAAGTTAACATATAACAAATATACTTAAAACTGTGATAAATCTATAAATTAATTTCATTCAGATTCATTTCTTGAGTTTGGAACCATTTCAATAACAAACATTTCTATTGGTTAATTTTCTGCCCGACATCATATTAAACCAATCAGTATATAGAGTTTTCCTGACTGGTTCCAAGCTTTTCCTAAATAGATTAGTAATAATACATACCAATCTCATCATTTCTTGTAACGCTGAGACTTTGACAGCATCTCCTGTGAAGTGTTGGCCTTGAGAACTCTGAAATTGAAGAACATGGGTAGACACAGAAGACTTGTAATTAAAGTATGCATGTAACATGCATTTTTTTGCATATCAGACAGGATTTTTTGTTGCTTTTCTCTTAATTTCCATAAACAGTAACCCTCGAGGTAGATATTCCAGTCTGATACAGCAGCTGGTGTTAAGATTATAACCCAACAAAGTTCAACACAACAGACCTTTCCAGTGCTTTATACAGTTATATGCAAATTGGCTAATCTGCTATTCCAATTGCTACACTACTATGAATACATAATCACTGACTAACCTGGTTAACAGAAAAGTAAACATTGCCTTAAATGTTTGAGCAGTTGACCTGGTAATCAATGCAAAGGGGCTAAATGTTTCGCTGCTAAAAACTGGAAAGATCAATTGGCTGCCAAATTTAAACATTTCAATAAAATGACAATAGTTCTAAGTTCATTTTTTTTTCTTTTTTTTTTATAATATTAAAAACTTCTTTCCTTTAAAAAACTTATGTTCTCACAAATTAGTTTAGCCTTCAGCAATAAAGTGGCATTTTAACCACAAATACAGTGTAGATGCAACATATCAAGAATATTAACATCTACTGTGTGCCAGACATTGCAGTCAGTTGAAGAATTAAACAAGTACTATCTTGAAAAGAAAGAAAAACTAATGCATTTATCTACAGAAATCACTTGCATACTTACTGGCATGGCTTCAGCTAAAGTATAGAGGAGTGTTATAGCCACTTCAATGTCCTTCAACTCCATATTCTCCCACTGTGATAGGGTATGTGTTACTATGTTATGTACAGTAATCAACACTAACTGCGAGTCCTGTGAGGAAAAAAAAACACATATAAAATTTTCAACCTTTACAAAGTAAACCACTTTACTGATGTCTTCTACATCATAAGAACAAAGCAAGACTCAATTCAAATTTTATACTGCTGACTGCTTAAATTCATATTCTAAATTCAAAGCAGGCCAAATTGCATATTTTTAGGAAGGGTATATAAAATTTTATACAATATACTTCACAAATTTTATATATCACTATTATCAGGAAGGGCATATAAAATTCTACATAGTATTTTTCTTACACAAATTTTTTTACATATGCTTTTTATAAGAAAGGGCATATAAAATTCCATAAAGTATTTTTTCACTAATTTTACATATCCTTATTTTCAAAAAGAACATATAAACTTCTATACAATATGCTTCACAAATTTTACATTATGCTTCACAAATTTTACATATGCACATTATTAGAAAGGGCATTATGATTCATAAATTTTACATATGCCTATTGTAAGGAAGTACATACCAATGATGCGAGGTTGGTGAAAATTGTCTTCAATTGTTTCCTGTATTCCATAAACATTGCTTCATCCTCACCCTACAAATGATAAAATGTCTATGAACTAAAATATGGCTATAAACTACAACATAGCTATGAACTTAATAATTAAGAGAAGTGACATAACTATTGATCTTAGTAAGTTTATTTCACACAAGAAAGCTAGCTAGCTGATTGCTAACAAAATTCTATCCTAGTTCTTACTTATACCTGAAACAAACTGTACCTCAGGCCACATAAAACTTATAAATCTAAAAACTTGCCACATAGATGTACAGAGTGTCGGTGCAACTTAAAACATCCCTGCAAATATAACATCACCTTAGTGCAGTATGGGGTTAACTTCTAATATAATTTAATAGGAGTTAACCTGTTACTGCACAAAGATGACGATACACAGTCAACTCACATCATCTAGACATCCTTACTTTTTTATCTCAACCTAATTTTGAAAGTCTCGACTTGTTCCCTTCTTCATCTACATGGAAGATGTTTATCTTAACTCATCTTTCTCAATGTTTTTCAGTAAACCAAATTTTCAGTCCCTAAAGATATTTTTCTAACTGTAGTCCTTTGTCAACTTTGTGATAACAAAGGTGACTATAGATAAATTTTTTAAAACCATTGATTTTTTTTAATTTAACAAAGCACAATAAAAGCTTGGGTATAATTTTTTGATATGAGAAATAGGAATCAAGAAATATGTACCTCATGTTCAAAATTGTAGGATTCATCAAATTTCATCTTCTTAATCAGGATGTATAGCAGAGTCTGAAAAGCAGTAAGTAAATGATTATAACTCATGTATGCTCTCAAATACGTAATCAATCCTAAACACAATAAAGAGTATTATCTGAAGTTTTATGCTACCTTTTATGCAAATAAAATTGACTGAATCACAATAGGCTTTAGAAAAAGGAAAATCTAACATGATCAATGATTTCCTCCTTTTTTCCTCAACATCTGATGCCTTAACTCAGGGAATTTTAATGTGATAATCATCTTTTCATTTGTGCTTATTACATAATACTTGAAGCATAGGTCTGAAATCTCAGGGTGTGTTCAAACAGTAAAAAGGTTACCTCTATATTTTCTCTTTGTTTTGGAGTGACTGGGTCCATTTGTTTAAGCAGAGAGATATAATCAGTTGTGAACGTAGCAACCGCCCCTGACACGTCATCATCCTCGTCTCCAAGGAAACGAAACAACAGACTGACCTTGTTCTCAACAGCTGCCAGGGTTTCAGACGCCTTCTGCGCATCCACCTTTAACAGCCTGTAAAATATTCATTCAATTTAATTTGATAAATACCTTTTCTCTAAAATTCAACCATTCTATAATAATATCGCTCTAAAATTACCGAAATACCGCCCCAATTTCTTTTACATCAAATACATACAGTAAACTCTGGTTATAACAATATTCAAGGGACAGCCCAAATTATTCAAAAGTTTCTTAATCTTTTTTTACCTCTTGATCCCATTAAAAATATTTTTGGGGTTTATTTCATATAAGGGTTCATTTCAAATTCAATTCAAATGGTATTCTTAGCTATATATTAAATTTTGATCACTTTTACTTTGTAATTAAAGTGTAATACACACAAGTCGTTAATGTTTCTTGAACAGACACGAAAAATCAAACAAGAATTTCACAAACAAATATGGATTACTTACTTTTGCCATGAAGAAATCAGCTGTACACCCATACAGTTAATCAACTTGGCCATCTTTGCCAGAAAGTCCCCATCTTCATCCTATCAATCAAACTTACACAGTTAAAAAAGAATCCAACACATTTAATTTACAGTAAAATGATTCTTAAAACAATATTACGTCTTATTTCCAAGTCCAAACTTTTTTCTCTGGGCCTGTCTTGTGCGCAAGGGAAACATTACCTTTTTGTTTCAAAATTTTACCTTAATAGAAAAAGACCGGTTAAAAAAGTTTTTCACTTAATATTGAACATGGTATTTTGAATAAAATATAAAAATTATTCATAACAATAAATAATTGGATTTTAACATGTTGTACCAGGAATCTATGCAACTGCTGGTCGCATTGATTCAAACTCTGTCAGGGGCAAGCTGTTCTTTCCTTGAGCGAAAGTGTTTAAACTTATTGCTCAATACTTTGTGGTTCTAGGAATGGATTCAATTTTGTGCCTGTAAACTTACAGCTTCCAACACAATCAAACTTAACATAAATTCTGTATTTACTAAACCAAACAATATTAACCAATGCAATTTGAATAAAAATACTCACCTCAGAGAGGTTTAGTACTCCTATATTCTCTAGCACGTCTGTAAATGATTCCACTAGTTTTGTTTTGGCGACGGGATCCATTCCTTTACTAATGACTTCATGTATACAGTCACACGCGCTCTCTCTCAATAGAGGCATCGACATAAAGCGAATGATGACAGGTACAAATTTATCATTGGCTATAAGACTGATGTCTATCCACGAGATATATTTACCAACCACGTCCAGACACATACACACGATCTCTGGCTGAGAGCTGTTGTACTCATTCTGTAAACAATATAAATATTTTAATATTTTCACAAAAAAACTTTTTCTTCTGCTGATGTATAAACATATATAAAATGTATGTCAAGAATATAATAAGCAAAATCTTTTTCTCTATTAAACATTGGTTACTGATATGTGAAGTTAAATGCAAAAATTTAAGAAAGTGTTGCGCCAATGCTAATAACGGGATGACTAGGCCAGACACACTTTCTGGGAACATTACAACTTTTCTTCTACCTACACCAGTATTCCTATTTTCTTTAAACATTTTTACTTCTACACAAGTATAACTGAATAAAACAGACATTCCCACACTCAAAAAATACTTTTCCTTACAAAGGTAACATGTAAAAAAATATATATGTACCATAATTTGAAGCCATGACTCGGCCAACTGTAAAACACAATGATCTCTCATAGCATCCTTGATATTTGTGTTCCTGTCTGTCTCCTGTAAAGAAATAAACATATGCACAGTTTACTTAATGTAGCTTGCAGACCTGTAAAACACCTAAGTCTTGTGCCAACAGCCCTATGTTATTTTCAGACTGATTTTCCTTAGTCATTTTTTCCTGTTGAAATAACCACATCTTCAAGTTTAAAGTAGCACCTTGAAATATCATGTTGCTATGTATTAATACTCTACAGACAAAAAAACAGTGTTCAAATTATGTTGCGAACAATAAACCAACTGAAAGTCAGACGGTCGGACACAATGACCATAAAATTTAGTACAACAAATAGGAGAAAAAATTCACTGGATCACGCAATAAAAACCAATCAGCTGTTCCTAGTCTTTGAAAGGACCAAAAATTTGTTGATATTATAAAAACCAAAGAAATACCATAAAGCATACCTGTGGAGTATGGACGATCTCTCTGTCGACAACCTCAGAATCAATCTGGAGTAAAATTCTCAGATACATATCTACAGCCAGGTGACCAATGCTTAAACTCTGTAGAAGATCCGAGAAGAACCCCACCCATCTTGCGGGAAAGTCAACAACAAATGCAAGGGAGATAATTTGTGATACTTTGTTCCTCAGGAAATTCTTATCTTGCTGTTGTGCCTGCAAAAAAAGATCAACCTTAATAACAATGAAAATCTCATTATCTCATCTCATGAAGTCTATTTTATCTTTATGGTGGAAAACCTGGATATCATTATTGAAAAGAAATTAAAATATTTAAAGTTACATTTAATAAATTTCATAAAAAACTAAATAGCGACATTTCATTAATAAATTGGGTTTTATATCGACTCTACGTCTTATTTTGGTGTCCAAACAACCAAAATGAGTTTTATTAGCATAAAAATAGGTAACCTCATTGTGGCGAAACGGGAAGTACAATTTCTGTTTGCATGAGAAACTCCGCCTTCGGATCATCAGTACATCAATATTAAATCAACAAACATGACTATAAGTGGCAGTCCTAATTTAACGGTATATTTCTGCATTATAACGGATGTTTTCATACAAATTTAATCTTTTTACGAGATGATTACTTTTACTGAACCCCAGGTTTAGTGCACCGTGAAGCTTAAACGGTTAAAGTGTGTTTGCACAAGAAAATATCACATTTCCTGTGTTCCGGATAGCAACTATAAAACTGTGACGTAGCGCATACATGAGCTCATTATAGTCTTCATTTGCATGTTAAAATTCGTATACGAACTTTAGTGTTACCGTGGGGTTTCCCCGTTTAAAATCCTAATTTATGAACAATATTTGATGAGATTTACAACAAAACTTTTAAACAGGTTAATGAAACTGTAGAATGTTTGATTTTTAGGCCGACGGCAAAATATTTTTACATATTTATTTAATGTAACTTTAAGTATTTCAATCAAATTATAATTATAATTACTATTTCATGATTTTTAACAAAAGTAATCAATCAAATACCATTTCTATAAGGAGAATAGGGTTGGATACCAATAACCAGTACTTAGACAGTTAAGCCACATCATCGTTCCTGGACAGGTTGTCAAGCAGTTTACCAGTACTAGTTGCTTTCACTTTTGCAAGGAACTGATTACTTCTGTACAAGCAAAGGTACAGTAAGAATGACCGTAGAAAGAACTTCATGATCAATGATCTATTGAGCTAACCAGACAGCTTCTTTACCAAAATGTAGCATTGGCACAGTCCTTATACTGCGTAAGTAAGGAATTTAATGCATAGTTTAAAATGGTACCAAAATGTAAGGGGTAATATCAACAAATTGTCTTACCTGCAGCTGAAGAAGTGAACCGATCAGACTTTTTACTAATGCATGTTCCTCACGACTAGCTTCAGCATACCTGAAACATTCATTCACATTGAATTAAATATACATTTTACAAATGCAGTACAACTATTGACTGCTTTTTTTTTCATGATTAATACAATATAACAGCAAAAATTACACACATTTATATATATATATATATGTTTTATCTTGTACTATTTTTGGAACTTGTATTTGCTATTATTTATCATAAGATGAAATATATACAATGTATTTGAATCTAAATTGCTATCAAGAATTTTAACAACTGCAAATGAATCATATTTCGTTTTGAATATAATTAGGCACTGAATTTTTTTTTGTCAGGAATTGTCACAAATGCAGAAACTTTTTTTTTCTTAGAATAAAACTTTATCTTACTTACCTTGCTCTAAGGTAATACTCAATCACTTGCAGACAGAAAAACTTGACATGATCATTTCTGCAATGTATTAATATTTCATTTAGTATATCTTTTCTTTCTTTTCTTCTTTTCTTCTTTTTTTTTTGCATTAATTTATTTCAGGCAAGAATAGACACCTTAGCAGAACCACTGCTAGATGTAGCTAGCACGAAAGAATCCAAAGTCCATGGCAGGATTCAAACCTTCATGCAGCAGTGATCGGCAAGAGGCATTTGAAACATCATATAGTTTTAACATCAGAAAGCTTTAATAGCTGATAAGAATATTTGAGAAAATATGCAAAACATAAGTGGTGTAATATTTGTGTCTTTTGAGTCACATAGACCCACACTGAAACCGAAATTGACGCATTGTGATTTTACAGCTTCACTGGTAGACAAGAACTTTGTTGTCCCTCAATGTTTTATTTCAGGCACAATCAGAAACCAGAGTAGAACCACTGGCCTTTCATAGGCTAGTTGGATAGCTGTCTCATATGAAAGAATTCATCTGGCAGGATTAAAATTTAAATCCCACAGCAGTCACAAAGTCTCCACATGAAGTAAAATATTAGTAACATATGAAAAATGGTTGCTATAGTAACCTTACCCCTCATAGGACCCACTTGTGAGACCCTGTGCTGCAAGCTTCCATCCATCTACCGATGCCTTCAACTGCTCAAAGTACTGTAAAGCCTGAAAATTGATAAATAAATGAGATCATTCTTTTTGAATAAAAAATCTTTTTTCTTTGACTGCAAACAAACAGGGCAGTTTTGCACTATTACAATGGGCAAATAAAAGGACCCATTCCCTCCTTTTTTGCCAATTTCAATAAATATTCCTAAAACCTGAGTGAGAAAACCGTTTTGACTTGTTTCGTAAAGAAGTGACAGATTTTTTTGTCACTGACTATGAATAAAACTAAAAAGCCATGTATACGATAAGAGTTTTTCAACTCAATGTCTCAAGTTGCACAAAAATGCCAAGATGTTGTATAATCTTTTCCCAAGTTAAGTGATGGGCCTTTTCCAAAAACAGCTGAAAAATGCCCTGACAAACAATTGTGATGAATTTTAAGGAAACTTCAGAGGGATTGAAAAATTTACATAATAAAATACATACCCTTGTTTGTTGTTGGCGACTTGCCAATGGCTGTAATCCTTTTAGTGCTTCGTCATCCATTGTAAATATATAAAATTGTGCAGGATAATCTACACACCATGCTGCAAACAAGAAAGATAACTCAAAATGAAAGGAGTGCATTAACTTGAGTTTTTTTATGAGACATGCCTCAAAATTTCATTCTATCTACACAATATCTAAATCAATGAATAGTGAAAATTATAAAACCATTATCTTAAATGACAGATCCATAGAAATTGTAAATTGCCAGTCAATTTTCTAACCTCTCAAATTGTTTTAATCACTTGATTAGAATGGTTTCATTGACATTTTGACTAAGTTTTTGCTGTTGATTTTATTAGCTTTCAAGAGTAATTTGCGGTTTATTGGTGATTCAACACTTACATACAATATGTATATATTTAGAATATCATTTAACAAACTCTATGTAATTTAACACTCCATAAGGTGAATTCCCCAGAGCTATGTACAGAAAGTCTGGAAAATGGCTTTTAGCTAGGTTTTCGAATTTGTGTATAAACAGGTCTAAGATTTCATGATATTTACGGACAGTCTGTAAATTTTTGGACGATCCATAATTTTATAGATTTTTTTGTCTGTAAATTTACAGACATTAAGTAAGAAGATAGTAGAAGTTGCATTAAAATTTAAAACCGCAGGTTAAAATGAATAAGGTTAGGTATTATATGATTAAATGTAACAGTATGCTAAGATTCAGAACAGTTTGATGACTTTCAATTTTCACTTTTAACAAAAATTTCAAAATCATCATACAAAGATGAAACCCACCCCATTACCTTTGTAAATATAAACAATCAATAAAACAACTTGTCTTAAGCTGCGGATTTTATTGTAAAACTAAAAACAGCAAATTTCACATTGAATATCTGTAAATTTATGGATTGGAAATTCTTTAAATTTCTAGACTGTCCATAAATTTACGGACAGTCCATAAATATCATGAAATCCTAGACCTGATAAATATGCAACAAATATTTAAACGATATTACATCATGTTTCAATCCAAATTAATAAAAATATATTTAATATATAGTTGGTCGAGATGTTATGGGGTGAATCGTCAGTAAAGCGAATTGATATAATACAGTCCCTTAGCTGGGTATGTCACGGCCTGGGCACACTGGAAAATGGTAAATATTTATTAACAATCCATAGTCACATCTGGGAGCCACATCACTAATTAAGTAAACCCGATCTATTATATCTACAACCCTGGGCAACGCATTTGTATCCAAACGAAGCTGGCACTCATTACACTACTTGACATGGTCCAATCTAAATATACCTGGATGAACAAATGTGTTTCGCTGGCACATCATTTCAAAGCTGTGAACCAATGCCATATTTTATAATCTAACTCCTTTCTGTTGTGTCATTTTTTCACAATTTTTTTATTTAAATTTCATTTTAAAGTGTTTAGTCTTTAGACATTTAAATCTGCACTAACTTCTTGAACATTTTACACTCATTTCATATATAGATATGTATTATCATAATATTGAGGCAAATGTTTTATATGGGTACTACATATTTCTTTCAATTTCATCATCATTACCTTTGATAAACAAACAAAATTTCAACTTTTCAAGCCACGTTTCGTCATTTTCAGTTTAACCGGAAGTTTCCAGTTACAGACTGGTTTGTTTGTAGTTTCGTACAATTAATTTTCGGAATACCTTGTTTTAGTATCAATTATTTTCGAGACAATAGGGAAAAACGATAGCTACTAAATAGTCCTGAACACAGGTGTTCGGCGCGTTGATTGGTCACTACTCCCCCCTTATCAACTCTACAACCCTTCTTCCTCTCAAAACATGTAAACTGCAGTATTTTTCATTTGAAATGTTTTTTTTTTTTTTGTTATATGCTTTTAATTGGGTTTGCCTAAAATACGAAAGTGAGATTTTTGACGAAAGTGAGCGAAAGTGAGCGAAAGTGACTTTTAAAATATTAATTGTAACGTTTTAATAGACTTAAACAATAAAATTGCAGTTTGTAGACGTATATTATTAGAAATTACTTATATTTATTATAAAAACTAATCATAATGATGATTTATTCGGTTTTTATTTGCATAATTTATATACACAAATTCTTATATCTTCCTTTCGCTTACATTGAAAAATACGAAAGTGACTTATAAAATATAAAATATACCGTTTAAATTGAAATTATTTATACTATTATTGTACAAAGTGGACGTATAATATCAGAAAATGATAATATTTACTTTCAAAGATAATCATTATGATGATTAAATCGCCATTTATACTATACACAAGTTATATTCAGAGATCTTCCTTTCGCTCGCATTGAAAAATACGAAAGTGGCTTACAAAATATCAACTATACTGTTTAAATTGAATGTATTACTAATATTGCAATTAATTTGTAGACGTACAATATCAGAAGTCAATTATATTTATTTTTAAACATAATCATTATGATGATTTAACCGCCCTTTATTTGCATTACACAAGTTAAAAGATCTTCCTTTCCCTCACATTGAAAAATACGAAAGTGACTTCAAAAATGTCAAATATAGCGCTGAAAGACGCATGTTTTCAGAAATGATTAAAATATATATATATATAAATAATCATTATGATGATTTAATATCCATGTATTTTCATAATTGCTGTATACCTGTTCTGATATCTTACTTTTGCCCACATTGAACAATACGAAAGTGACTTAATCGGACGAAAGTCAATGTCAATATTCACGATATTAATGTTTTTTATAATAAAAAAATAAATGAGTCATTTTCATTATTATTCATGTTTTCTTGGTGATTGTCCTATAACTGATGATGAAAATGACTAGCACAAAATATAAAAAAAATCCTAACTTATAAAAAGATTGAACTTTACCGATATATATAGTACGATATTTATAGAAAATTCCGTGGATTACTTATTTCCTTTTTTCATAGTGAAATATTATTTTAACAATGATGGGAAATTCTAAATTATTTTTCAAATTAACATGTACATTGCTCATCTACACCTGGATGAGCATAATAACTGCCACTTTAATCCGTGCAAGATATCTATGGTGGTGCAGAAGAAAGGTTAATTCAATTGTCCACTCAATAAACAACCGGGCAAGTGTCATCAGTTACATACCTATGATTGGATTATAATAATACTTTAGTGGGATTAAAGCGTCATGCGGTCACCTTCGTGTGTACTATCAATTAAAGTGGATGCGAAAATGATATGACAACACGTGTTTGCATGTAAACATATTCATCCTTTATTTTGTCTCATTCGTATAGATGCATTTTTAAACATATATACAACTATTCACATAAAACCATTCCATTTAAGAATTTCAAGAGACATTATAATAATGAGCAACACATTCAAGACCTATTACTGTTAGATTAGAATCAAACAGTATAATTACAATATAATATATCAACAGAATATTAAATGTTAGGTAACACTATCGTTAATCAAAAATTAAAAACTGCCCGAAAAAGACGATGCAAGAAATAGAGAACTGTAAATCGTGGCCCATAAATTGTATAATTCATGCTTTTGCCAAATATAGTTTACATAATAAATTTCATTTTTCATCTTAACATATTAAGTTTTATAAAAATGATAGTTACTATAGCTTATAACATACGTCTACAAACTGCAATATTATCATGAAATTCTATTTCAACGCTATATTTGATATTCTGTAAGTCACTTTCGTCAGACTCACAGTAAGCGAAAGGAAGATCAATGTCTGAGCTTGTGTATTAATATTATGCTAATAAATGAAGATCAAATCATATTGATTAAAGATACTAGTTTTGATAATATACGTCTACAAACTGCATTATTAATATTAAATGCAATTTAAACGCTATATTTGATATTTTTAAAATAACTTTCACTTCCTCTCCCTAACATTGAAAATACGAAAGTGAGCGAAAGTATAAGATCTCTGAAATTGCTATATAGAAATAATGAAAATGCATGAATATTAAAACCTCATAATGATTTTTAAGTAATTTTTATTCATTTCTGAAACTATGCGTCTACAAACTTTTATATTAATATAAATTCAAAATAAACGGTATATTGAATGTTTTATAAGTCACTTTCGTATTTTTCAATGTGAGCGAAAGGAAGATCTATGTAGTTGTGTATAGAAATTATGCAAATAAATAGCGATTAAATCATCATATATAATGATTATTTTTGAAAATAAATATTATCAATTTCTGATAATATACGTCTACTTAGAGCAATTTTAGTAAAAAATCAACTTAACCAGTATATTTAATATTTTATATGTCACTTTAGTATTTTTCAATGTGAGCGAAAGAAAGATTTCTGAACTTGTGTATAGAAATTATGCAAATAAATGGCGATTTAAATATTATAATGATAGTTTTTAAAAATAGATATTATCAAATTCCAAAACTATACGTCTACAATCTGTTATATTAAGGTGACAACAGACACTTTCCGTGGTAATCACATAAATGTCATTTAAACCAACTTATTTTAGTAATAATTGTTATTTATTTAATCTTTGTGCATTAAAGTTCGTTGATCATCATAAAAAATAACATATTTGAAAAAAATGTCTTTGTAAATGATTGATTTTTAATAAAAATCCTAAAATTTTAAATCGTCATATCAAAGTCATTTTTTATTTTTTTTGTCATCAAACTTTTGGAAAATAACCATACTTATAATATCTGGGGAACCGTGTCTCAAATTTTGTCTATCTTTTCTCAAAAAAATATTACGTAACGTCAAACATTTTATGCGACTTTTTTCACCATACATATTACGTAATTAAAGATAATTAAGTCGCTGATTGAGCAAACAAAAATCCCTGACACGGTTCCCTCCGTAAATGAATTCCCTTTCATGTGCTTTAAACCGCATGTTAATTGCTTGATTATTAAAAAAGTTATGCCGATTCAAAGTTAGTCCGATCCGCATCAAACGAAGTGTCATAAATTGGCTGTTCTCTCTCGGACCCCTACGTTTCACGCTAAATAATTACATAATACACAAATATCGCACCAGAGAGGGTCACAAGTTGCGGTAACATACACTAACAACATTTTATGACCCAGTGACATCTGACCAATTAAAAAGTTGCTGATTAATATCAGTTTATAACAGAAATTTCTTCACATCTTAACGTGATTTACCGTTAGTCTGGTATCGGTTGCACATGTCACGTGACTTTCGGTAAAATTTGAGGCACTCGGTGGGGGGAAATGGGACGTATTTGTGCACCGCTAGCGGGGTATTTAATTGTTTCACATTTGAAGTTTATTATTATTATCATCAGCATTATTATTATATTATACCAGTGTCACTCTATCTGTGTACTCGTGTATGAAATTCCGTTAAAATATAAATTAAAATAACAAAAAAACTGAGCTTCTGACAGTATTTTAAAGTCCATGGTAGATGTACAAATAAGAACGGGATTTTATATATTTTTTCCTTTTTCAATTAAAACAGAATATTTAATATTTTATAAGTCACTTTCGTATTTTTCGATGTGAGCGAAAGGAAGATATAAGAACTTGTGTATAGAAATTATGCAAATTAGTAGCGATTAAATCATCATTATGATTATTTCTGTTAATAAATATAATTATTTTCTAATAATATACGTGTACAAACTGCAAGTTTGTTTTAAAAGTCTATCAAAATGTTATAATTACTATTTTAAAAGTCACTTTTGCTCACTTTCGCTCACTTTCGTCAAAAATCTCACTTTCGTATTTTAGGCATACCGCTTTTAATTCAATTTCCTTCATTTCCCACAAAAAAAAAATAAAAAAATGATACATATATATTTAGTACTTAGAAATATATATATATATATTATTTTTTTGCGGGGAATGCTAAGGCATTTAACATTTTATTGCTCACATTCTATATGTATGAACATTTAAGAAAGATAATTTATAGGCCCAAAAGTTTGTGGGTTTTTTTTTGTTGTTGTTGTTGTTCAATTATTTACTTAGAGGAATTTATTTTAGAGGAATTCAGTTCCAATTAAAATTATAAGTATATTATAGTAATGTGAAGTCGATCTTTGTTATAAAGCGTTTTCTTGAATATTTCTTATCAACATTTTTATATATCAGTGTACTGAAGAAAACATACATGAGACATTCTTTTTTCAATGAAATGAACTCAAAAAGAAACATACATGTAATTGACATTTGTCGTTCATATTTAAAGAAAAGAAAACACAATTGACAATTAAGAAACAAATTATATTGTGTATATATATTTATAGTTGTATTTATGTAATGACAACTATTTAAAAAAATCTTTAAAAGACATTTCTTAAGTGAAGAACGGATATTAAAATAATGTCAAATTTTACATACACTCCTGTTTGTGTTTACCTTGTACAAGTATCCTACTCTTATAAATAGCTGTGTTAACGTTGCTCGATTTTTTTTTGAAATACCTGTATAATATATTGTTACCTCTGAAACCATCTTAAATGAAAATAATTTGCATTAACATTTCTTTTTAAGTGTTATGGCCGTTCGTTTAATACGTTCTTTAAAAGTACATGTATATACGGTACCTTTTTTGTTCCATGGTTTAATTTCCGTTTGAATATTTGCCACATCGTACAGTCAGCTGTTCAATTGCCATTTGAATTTATGCCATATAGTAGTCAGTCGTTGGTTGCTGTTTGAATATATGCCATATCGTACAGTCAGTCGTCTGGATATGCGATTGAAGCAGTCTTAATCCATTACTTCATATAGAGGTCTTTTCACCCCGCCCCCTTCTTGAGACCTCAAATAATGAAAAAAAAGCGCTATTTAGACCCAAACACTTTTTTTCGTTCAAGAAATGGTGTTAAAAAGTGATCACCTTTTCGGCGCCATCCCCTATCAAATAAATACATCAAGTGGGTGCAAGAGGGGGATCTCCAAGAAAATTTTGAAAATGGCCTCAGGTCGACCTTAAGGTAACGTGTAACCAACGCTGAAAAGCCTTTGACTCTATCTCAATCCAGAAGTTGCAGCACTTTGAAATCAGTTTTGATGGAAAACCAACGCAAATAGTGATTTTTGGCGATATCCCTTCGTTGCCATGGTAACAGGAAATTGAAGTTCGAGTATTCAGCTACAAAGTCAACATTTGTGCCAAGTTTGAACAGTATTGAAGCCTTTTTTATAGTTTCATAGCAATTTGAACATGTTAGAGGAGGCTTTTCAATGAAAACAGCCATTTTTTCACAAAATGCTCATGGAGAAATGGGTTAACTGGTATGTCTGGAAATTATTCTGATATTGATGATTTCAAATCCAGAATATCTTTCCGAAACGAACAATTATAAATAAATAAAAAAATGTAGAAATAAAATAGCAAAGAATATCAATTTACAAAAATGAACGATCTATATCACTGCTAACTGCATGTGCCTGTGTGAAAGGAATATATTGGTAAACGCGATTTATACCGTTGGGAGTGGTTTCGTCGAACTACTATAAATTTTTGTTCAGAGTAATTTAAGATACGCCTACTGGTACAGTACAGCCGGATATAAAATGGAGAAGTGTGTATTGATGCAATTAAATCGATATGCCTGTTTAAGTGAAATTCTGTTTTATTTAATGTTTTAAGAGCTGAAAGGAGAGTAATGTTTTGGGGTGTTCAACCCAAGTCGGAAAATAATTGGTACATCTACGCCCAAAACATATCAAGCGTAACATCACGTGATCAAAACAAGAATGGCAAGAAATTGACATTTAAAAGAGGAAGTGAAATTTAAATAAAAATACATTTATATTTGTGATGTAACATTCAATGACAACTATGGATAATACCACATGGAAACCATCTAAGAAGAAATGTGGTGTTGGTATGTAGCTTATTTCATTTATTTCAGTTAAAACTTTAATAAGGTTATTTTGTCATTTGTTTTCGCGATGTCGTCAACAGATTAGGTGATTTTATCGTCTAGAATTGACGCAAAGTAAAATCTACCTCAAAACTTCACAAAAAAAAAAAAAAAATAATTTTAGGAAGAAATTTTTCTGAGTTTTATTGGTGTCTGTTTATTTCAGTGTAAATTTGAAACAGATTTATTTTTCAACAATTTTTACAAGGTGCAAAAAGTTGTTATTTCTTGTCGCTACTGTAGACATGAAAACATTTCTTGTCGGTAGTCATGAACACATTTCTTGTCGGTACAGAAATATTGCCTAAATGCAGGATATTTTGTAATCAATGACAACGAAATGTTTAAAATTATTTATTGAATATAGACCGACAATAAATTATTTGAACACATTTAAAACCTACATGTACGCCATTGATAGCAATAATGAAACTTTCTTGTCGGTATCCACGAATATTCTCATAACATCATTCATTAATGATGATATTCTTAATTGAATTAGAATACATTTAACATAATAATTATTATTTATAATATAACATAATCTTAATAAAAATAAATTATGATTTAACACTTGTACACAAATTCTTAATGTAATATCAATGGTACGAAGATGGCCGAGTTCTTGACGGTGAGAAACTGAGACTGACTTCTTGTCGGTATAGATATTTGCCTATAAACATGGTTCAGAACGAATTAATTATGTTTTTTATGTAAAAGATATTAGGAATTGTAATTATTAAATGATGAATAAGTGAAATTAATTCGTATTTTCCCATTTTTACTTCTTGTCGGTTCTTGTCGGTTCCTGACGGTTCTTGTCGGTAATTAGGGAGACCGGATTAATTTTATTATTTTACATTCTGTTTTAACAGAGTCATTCAATATTTCATGCACCATTTGAGTTTTTACTTGGATCACCTAAGCGATTATTATTAAGCCCAAAAGTTGTGATTGTTCCGTTATAGGAATACCCCGCCTATTATCATTATGTTACATTGAACATGGCGGCTCCAACTAGATATGACACTGACAATTTCTCTGATAGGTATACAGTAGATATCTTTATATTTTTATTCTAATATTTTCTTTAAATACACACATAATATTTTTTTATGTAGTCTATTAAACTCTATAGCTGGGCAAGCCAAAGCCAGTGGACCCGGGCTTGGACTTCCCTGTATAAAAGATCATTTAGGCTTTCTAAAGATAAAAAAGTAAGACCTCAAAACATGTGTCAAATAGAATTTTCAGGTAAAACTTTTCAGTTTTGTAATTTCAAATATATATTGAGATGAGTGCTTGTTAATATTCACATCTGTTATTTATTAAATATATTTTTATCAAAATATTTGTCAACATGATTTGTTTTTACATTGTTGTTAATGTGCTACCCGGTAAACAATAGGTTTAAGATTTGATATATATTTATTCAATGTCAGTTGAAAGGCAATAGGCTAATGATAATAGTAATATCTTAATTTTCTCCATTTTAAAAGCATCTTTATATACATTTATATTAATAATGCATTCAGTGTCATATCTTCAATGTAATTCACACATTTGAAAATTTAAATATTGTACACAGGCTGAAAGTGCATAAAGATAAGTGATATATTCATTAATGAATTATATAACATTAATAAAAGAAATATAAGGTGCAGCTTTTTTGAATATTTCTTTAATTTTTGTTATTTTGTTTAATTAGCGATAAGCTGCTTATGCTACTTGACTTATAGTAAAGATGATTATGGTGATGATGATTTTATTATTATCATCATTGTTATTTATGATATTTTTTTGTACCTCCCTGCATAATTTCAAGCAAATTAAGGCCTGTAAGCAGACCTATCCATCTTATGCAAGCTGGCAGGATATTTTCTTCACATGAGATAATTCAGTATTGTTACAGGATTCAGACCCTTGAGACGTGAGATTGAAATCTCCAAACACTTATACACTTGAACAAGGATAGACATAGTACTAAACACACCAAACAAATTTGGAATAAAGGAGTAAAATAATAATTTTAGGCACAATTAGTGTTCACACAGGGTGCCATTAAATTTAAATTCCAAAATTTAGAAGTCAGTGATTGCAAGAAAAATTTTTGAAAAAAGGAAGTAAAAATTAGTTTTTAAAAAAAAAAAACCATAAATTAGCCCATTATTCAAGGTATATGTAAAAAGGCGGAGTATTAAAAATTTGGGTATTAAAATAATTGAGTTAAGAGATGCAAAAATTTTTATACAAAAAAGACGATTTCAGGTAGCAAATTTGGGGAACTAAATGTTTTTTTTGATAATAGATTTTTCTTCTGTTCAAATATATTGGTTTTTGAAGCAAATTAGCAATAAGCAGTTGTAAAAAAATAAAAAATGTTATCAAAGTTTCCTATCTTAATAAATACACCCCCTCTTTAAAAACAAAATTTTTTTTTTTTAATCTATGGTTTTTTTTTGGTAAATATCCAAATTATTCTAAACAACATCCTGGCAGTCCGAGGAGACTTTTTTTTTCATTTAAAAAAAAGGAATTAAAAATAAAATTTGTTTATTTACTCCTAGATTTAATTTGTCATCAAATTGATCCTTTAGAAATATGTACTACATTTTATATCAAAAAGTATGAAAAGTCTTAAAATAAAATTTAAAAAAATTCTAGAGACTAAAAGTGGATCTTTTGATGTTTTTAAGAATTATTCTTTTGTGCCATTAATAAAAAGAAACTTTAACAATGATCATAACCATGGAGAAGCACTGTCAACATTTTAACCTTAACCTCCTTAATTTTTGTAATGGACTTGTCTAGCTTTGAATTTGGAACAGTCCATTCTGAGTTTAAGGGATTTTAATATGAAAATATAAATATTCAGCTATCATTTGTATTGAGGCTGGTCAGACTGCATGAAATACAGGCTGGCCTGGCTATATACTGGTGGCAAAGGCAAACCATGTAACATTCCAGCAGGTTAAGGGTTGATTTTTATGTCCCCATGATTAACTTGAACTGAGATATCAGAATTGTTGACTTAAGCAATGTAGGGCACTGTCATTATCTTAAGTTAAAAAAAGTCACTGTGTCAGATTTAACAAGATTTTTACATGTACCCCTATAACAAACATTTAACAGACTCAGTGATGTAATTTTTTTTCTCTGTGATAAATTTCAGGCATAGCTTTACAAAAAAACTAACTTGATAATTAGCATTGTTTTTTGGTTCAGCTATTAGAAGAATAGGTTTTACTTACCTAGGCATCAGCATCACAGTTTTTCTGTGCAAGTTGGTATCTCGTAATCTGCTGAAGGCGATGGGTTGAAACTGCACACACTTATTTGAGAGCATAATAGGAGGTCTCTTTGTTCAATGCCCATAACCCTTTATTATACGCCCGTTTGAAAAACGGGACGTAATATGGGAACGCCCCTGGCGGGCGGGCGGCGTCCAATTTTGTCCGGAGCATATCTCCTACATGTATGGAGGGATTTTAATGAAACTTCATAGAAATGTTCACCACTATGAGGAGCAGTGTCGCGCACATGAACCAGGTCTCTAGGTCAAAGGTCAAGGTCACACTTAGAGCTCATTGAAAAATGCTTGTCCGGAGCAAAACTTCCACATGTATAGAGGGATTTCAATATTACTTGGCACAAATATTCACCATTGTGAGGCGGAGTGTCGCGCGCAAGATTCAGGTCCTTGCGGCCAAGGTCAAGGTTACACATAGAGGTCAAAGTTCAGATAAAAATATGAAGATGTGAATATGGACCATTAAGTCATCATTTATTGTGTCGCCTCTACGGAGTAGTGGCGACATATAGGGATCACTTCTCCGTCGTCTGTCTGTCCGTCTGTCCGTCTGTCTGTCTGTCTGTCCGTCTGTCCGTCCGTCCGTCACAAAACTTGTCCGGACTACTCCTCATAAACTACTGGTGCAATTTCATCCAAACTTTACAGGAATGATCAGTACCAAGTCTAGTTGTGCATATTGTCAGGATTTTCCGTTTCAATGATTTTTGTCAGAGTTATGGCCCTTTAATAATTTTTAATTTTAAAGTTTGTCCGGACTACTTCTCTTATACCTTTAATGCAATTTCAATGAAACTTTACAGGATTGATCTGTAGCTCAAGTCCTTGCGCATATTGCACGGGTTTTCCGGTTGAATGAGTTTTGGCCGAGTTATGGCCCTTTGATAAAAAGGTTTCTTTTTCTGTGTGTTGCCAGATACACAAAAGCTTGTCCGGACTACTCCTCATCAACTATTGGTGCAATTTCATCCAAACTTTACAGGAATGATCAGTACCATGTCTAGTTGTGCATATTGTCAGCATTTTCCGGTTCAATGATTTTTGTTTGAGTTATGGCCCTTAAATAAACTTTATTTTTAAAGTTTGTCCAGACTACTTCTCTTATACCACTTATGCAGTTTCAATGAAACTTTACAGGATTGATCTGTAGCTCAAGTCCTTGCACATATTGCACGGGTTTTCCGGTTGAATGATTTTTGGCCGAGTTATGGCCCTTTGATAAAAAGCTGTTTTTTTCTGTGTGTTGCCAGATACGCAAAAGCTTGTCCGGACTACTCCTCATAAACTACTGGTGCAATTTTATCCAAACTGTACAGGAATGATCAGTACAAAGTGGTTAGTCTAGTTGTGCTCTGTCCGTCTGTCTGTCCGTCTGTCACAAAATTTGTCCCAACATGAAATTGGCCATCATGAGGCGACACATGTGATTACTGATCGCTCTTGTTGAAGGATTGTAACACAAATGGTCATTATCAAGACTATGGCTGTGATACATATAATTTAGGTCAATATATACAAGGTCAAGGTCACTAAAGATGATGAAATATCCAGATTTTGTCCGGAGCATATCTCCTACACGCATGGAGGGATTTTAATGAAATTTCATAGAAATGTTCACCATTATGAGAAGCCATGTCACGCACATGAACTA